TGACACTTGCTCTCTAAGTATGGTGAGTATTAGTGCTGAGGAATTCCATAGGTAGTAGTAGTAAATGTTTATTAAAGTGTCATATAATGTGAGAGCTGGGAAATTAAGCTACGAAATCAGAAGACTCACAGGAAACAATAACAAACTCCTCGATTCAACAACGAAAGAAAAAGAAAGGATAGGTAGAGAGAGAGGTAATTTAATAATCAAGGCGACGACTGTCGTCTCTTAAACATTTTAAAAAGCATTGCGGCAAGCAATTTTTGTTTAACGTTTGAATTCATTGAGTAAATAAAAAATTCTTCTTTTCGCATATCACATTATAATTGCGGTTGTTTTCTTCAGCTGCACAGTATAAATCATGCTGTAAATCTTCATAAAAACTGCATTGTAGTAATAAATGACATTCATCTTCCACCAAATCACAATTGGAATATTTACATAACCTCTCCGATAGTGGTATAGGAGGCTTGGAATATCTGCATGTCTCAACAAACAAAGGAAAAATTTCACATCTAAAATACGGCGGTGGTCTCTATACAAAATATTTTAACATAGAAATCAAGAGAAGGTGTACACTTATATTTTCTTTAGGTATGTAACTTATTTCCTTTCACATTACTCGTATCATTCCAAAGCGAAGTGTGCCAATTAACTGTGTCATCTTGAAATAAAACCTTTTTGATTTCTGATTTCCACTAAGTGAGTACAATTATACTGGTTCAAAAGGTTCATAATTTTACCATCCCAAGATGTGGTAAAACATCTAGACCATCGGTGAATAATATTAAGCAGGCGCTCTTGCTGCATAGATTTAAGTCTGAAACATTCTATTTTCTGAGTAACCAAAACTGAGCACAAGCCCATATTCCCTCTACTTGCCAGAACAGGAGCATATTTATTTAAACCAAGAAACATCCTGGCAGCCTTATTTTTCACAACCTCAACTTCTTTAACACTATGTAAACCCTATATACTGGCACCATAAAACAAAACTGGTTCAAGCAGCGATTTATACAACTTCGTAAAAACATCATATGACATTCCACCAGCATAACTATACTTAGTGTGCAGAGCAGATAACACTCTACGAGCAGACTTATAAAGCTCTTTCACGAAAATGGACAATTTGTGTAGTCACCATTAATGCTAATACGCCATTTTAAACACCAAGTAATTACAATATTTAACATATTTTGGAGATATGCTTCCCAATATCATCAGCGTATAACAAAATGGATAACATTTCGTTATCCAATGGTACATCCCATGTGAGATTCGTTATCTCCGTGGCTAGATCATTTCTATATATAGAAAATAGAGTTGGTGACAATTTGCAACCTTGCTTAACACCCTTGGAAACATTAAAAGAATCTGTTATATAGTCATTAACGCGTACTGCACATCTCACATCTTGATATAGGGCTTGAACAGCTTTCAATATCTTCCCTTGTACTCCAACAGACATAAGTTTAAACCATTGACAATTGCGGTCAGCAGTGTCAAATACTTTCTTTAAGCCTATAAAAGATACATAGGTTGATAGTCAAGCACATTTCCTATTATTTATCACATTATATAAAGTATACAAATGGTCGATACAGTTTCTGTCAGAACGGAAACCATTTTGTTCCTGAGACAATATATTGTTCTTCTCAAGCCAGTTCCTGATTCTATTTTCAAAACGCCTGCATATATTTTACATGGTATAGACACAAAATAAATACCTCTATACGACAGAGGATCAGTCGGGACACTTTTATCTTTTGGTATGGGGCTAATAAGTCCTTGGTTCCACTGTGCAGGTGACACAGAATAATCAAAGCAATAACTGACTAATTTATGCAATACTTTTATGCAGTGATAGTTCTGTAAAACTTCAACTGGAACACCATCCAGATGGACAGCTTTGCCTTTTTTGGTGTGTTAAACCTCTCGTTCGATTTCCTGGTATGGGATGGGCATGTTGAGCTCGAGCGTATCCATCTGCATGTGCTCTGTACCGTTACCTACACGTTCACAGACTTTATAATAGTGGTCTTCATCAAAGGAGCTGTTATCACTGCCGTTATAAAGCGTGTTGTACGAGTCCCTCCAGTGTTAATAGGTAACATTTTACTATTTCTGTGGTTTTTTTTAGGGGGTTTATTCCTTTCGTTCTAAGTGGGTAGATCAGACTTGGTTAGAATACGTGTATATTTGTGACAGCTTAAAGCTGGTGGCATTTAGTGATGATGAATAGTATTATTGTTTGTCAATTTGTTATTAGAACTGTGATATAAAGTATATGTTGGCTGTTGTTTACATCACTTTTATTCAGTGTGGGGAAATGTCCTATATACCACGAAGTGGTCATAACATTGACACTTAGACAATGAGCTATTTGTTTATCAATGTTTATGTTTGATGTTAACTATGTTATGATGAACATCAGGTGAATGAATGATTGGATGCAGAGAGCATGTATACATGTACACGTAAAAGCAAGAGTAATGGACAAATGGAACACAGAGGGTTAATTATCACTGAATTGTAATCAGCAATGGACAAATAGAAGTCAGTTGCGTGGCACAGACCAATTAAATCGATAAGTGCAAGCATTATCAGATATGTTCCCTGGTCACGATTAATGGCTTTCCACAAATGAAGAAAAAACATTTTTTCCACTGTCAGGTGAGAAGACGATTATGAGGTAGTAAACACCACAAAGAAAAGGGACATAACTCCGCGACGCTTTCAAGTAATCCATTGTGACTGAGTTTTCTTGGGGAGAATTTGCCGTGGATAGTATATTGTCATAGTGTTTTGTTCATGAAGAACCAAACTGTTCTAACACAAATATCAACATTGAAGTCTTGTTTATTTGGTATTATCTTAGGGAAAATACTAATAATTCATATCCAAATAAATTAAATATAATATTCAAGAGTTCACACATGCATCTTTGCAGTCAATCTTCGGATGTCTCACATAAAAACAACTCACATCAGTTGTAAAAACATGTCGCAAGGCATAATTTAGTAGATGCATGCCTGTTTACTTGACAGTCCTTACCAGATAAACAACACGCCGACCAATAACGATAATCCCCCCTCAAAGTGCCAGCCTCTGTTTTCAATAACCATAATCCGCTAGATAACCTGTATTGCATTGTTCACCGGGAACTAAAGGTGATAATAAATGGAATTAATGTCTTTGAAAAATAACCGATCAGCGATTGCTGTGCGTCCTTCCACTATATAAGTAGGTGCAGTTCGAGTGCAAAGTCACACTGCATCCGAATACATTTTGGAACGCCAGCAACTCGTATATCGTCATTCATTGATTTTAACTGAAGGTAAGACATTTTCATGTGTTCTTTCAAGTTGATTTCTCTTTGTATATCTTGTATACTTTCAACTACGTGCGTAGGTTTATTGTGAAGTTAATGTATTTTGTACATTCAATGTATTTTGAATATCCTATAACTTTTTATGAGGGTTTTGAACATCAAATTGATGCACACTGTTCCAACTATATGTGTCACCTAAGTATGTTGTGTAAATTTTCGGTTACCCCGTTACCAAAATATAAGTACAGTCATTCCTAATCAATATTTGGTAACGGTTTGATAAATGAGAAATATAGTAACAACAACGTTTTGTAAGTAACATATTTTATGTCGTGAATGAGCATTGGACTACAATGGTCATCGGTAATGCTGGACTTCATGAACAGTCAACTTTTTTCGTCTAGGAAGTATACATGTAACTCTCATATAAGAGCTCAAAATAAAATAGTTGATGGGACATGTATTAATAGAACGACGGTGAGTCGGTTGACTTGACTACCGTAATAATCTAAAATTACGTCCATCATTTCAAACTGACAGTAGCATTGAGAATCACGTGTATTAATTGGGAGACTGGTTAACTTCAACATTTTGTTTTTAAAGAACAAATTCTAGTCTGATTTTGATTTATTATGAACATTTTTATCTTTTTCACTATGAATGGTTGTGTCAGATGAAATCAACATGCTTTATGATAGTCATCTGTGATAATGTAATTTATAAATATATGTTAATTATCCTCTATTCATTAAAAAAAAATTCAAGGCAAAGTTACCGTGAGATTACGCTACTGCGACATTGGTATGTCGAGTAAAATATGTCTCACCCAATTTTCGATCATAATATGAAAATTAGTCACAATTGACCTGTTAAATCGTGAGACGTCAATGTTCTGTGAACCAAAAGAACGAAAACAATTCCAGGACCAAGACAATGTCTCCTACAAATGCATATTTTATTAGAAATAGCTGCAACGGGGTCTATGAACCAAGTGACAGCAAAATAGACTGCTCCCCTGGCGCTGTTCAGGGGAAGGACAGGGAACCAGATTGTTACAAAGCAGCGACATCAGCGGTCCGAGCTGTGTCGCTGTCACAAAGCCGGGTGGTCGTACCCAGAGGCGACAGTTTTTGATGGCGCAATTTCGCCGATTATGCCCAGCGGAAATATGGAACGCCCAGTATAAGAACTGGAAAAAATTCACTTTTTTATCAGTAATAGTGGTGGAATGATAGGGTCTATCCCATTGGCTCTGATATCTGGCCTCTGGATTTTGCATTATTGTATTCTCAAGCGTTGGCGATTTATATTTGCAACACAGACATGTCTATTCTCCTTTGACAGCATGATGCCTGTGCCCTTAATGTATTACAGTAGTCATGGTACGGTAGGTGAATAAACTTCAGGGAGAGATTATAAAAAAGATTAATATAACAAATGACACCATTGACATATTATAAGATACAAGATATAATGGATGTGTTGAATGTGGAAACACATTTACAGTATCAGGTAGTTTATCATTATACATATTGTGTCATATTGTGTATGGTCCCAGCCAGAGTTGTCGGTGTTCTTGTGGAAACATCTGTAGGAAATGCATTGATTTGATAAAAGAACGTCACAACTTCTTTATGTTTACAGTGAACACGATAACACGAAGTTAATAATGGAAGCACAAAGCCAACCACAGAATACTGCCTCTGTTACTGAAACACGTGTGATCACCATCTGTGAGAGTGAATTGCTGGAAACAGGTCGTCTCAAGAAACACTGTGTTGCTGACACGCTGGAAACAGGTGATCTCCAGCAACACAAAGATCGTGGTGGTCCTTCAAAGCGATCACAGTGTGGAAAGTGTGGGGCAACATTTATTAAATCAGGTGCCACGAAAAGGCACATACTTTGTCACAGTGAAGTCAAGCTTCATCGGTGTGATGAATGTGGGAAAGGATTTACTCAATCATGCAGCCTGAAGGCACACATGTGGATTCACGGTGAAATCAAGCCTTATCAGTGCACTGTTTGTGAAAAAACATTTACACTATCAGGTGCCCTGCAGAGACACATGCGAATTCACACTGGAATCAAGCCTTATCAGTGTGTTGAATGTGGGAAAAGATTTACACAGTCAGGTAACCTGGAGTCCCACATGAGGATTCACACTGGAATCAAGCCGTATCAGTGTGTTGAATGTGGGAAAGGATTTAAACATTCACATCAGCTGCAGTCTCATATGAGGATTCACAGTGGAATCAAGCCGTATCAGTGTGTTGAATGTGGGAAAGGATTTACACAATCATGTAACCTGCAGACCCACATGAGGGTTCACAGTGGAATCAAGCCTTATCAATGTATTGTGTGTGAAAAAACATTTACACTATCAAATGTCCTGCAGAGACACATGCGAATTCACACTGGAATCAAGCCGTATCAGTGTGTTGAATGTGGGAAACGATTTACACATTCAGGTAGCCTGCAGTCACACATGAGGATTCACAGTGGAATCAAGCCGTATCAGTGTGTTGAATGTGGGAAAGGATTTACACAATCAGGTAACCTGCAGTCACACATGAAGATTCACAGTGGAATCAAGCCGTATCAGTGTGTTGAATGTGGGAAAGGATTTACACAGGCAGGTAGCCTGAAGTCACACATGAGTATTCACAGTGGAATCAAGCCGTTTCAGTGTGTTGAATGTGGGAAAGGATTTACACAGGCAGGTAACCTGCAGAGACACATGAGGGTTCACAGTGGAATCAAGCCGTATCGGTTGATCGAATTGTCTGGATTGTAATCTCATAAGTGAATGAGTGTGCATTACAACTGATAAATGATAAATCAACAGACGTGTTGTCGAGTAATTCTTTAATCCATGCATGGGCTACTGACACCTGGTGTACTGATTGGTGTATTCCATCTGCTCTACATAACTACAGATATAGTGGGGTCAAGATTAGACTTTCTCCATTTATATACAAATTATTATCATTTGAAAATAAATATCTCCAAGAAGGTGGGGAGCTCAGAAGTTTATGCTCATCCATCATCAAGACACATTATTATTATTCAAAATCTTTCATGGTCACAACATCGGAAAACGTTTTGAAAACGGCAAGCATTTCGGGCCTTTAACCTTTACTAATTAGACGACAATGTCAGTTGTAGAAACCATATACTAAAATCGAACCAGACCTTCTGGTATTCTGTTTTTCGTGGTTTTATTTTCATATTGACGTTTGTCAATTCTGGATTCAATGAACTGAAATATATTCTGTGGCGTTGACGTTTTGAATTATCTGTTACTGATTCTTTCTGAATAAAATCAACAACATCAACTCCCTTGTTGATCACACTTCATAATGACACTTGTCGGTTAGAGTAACAGACGTGCATATGATCTTCTGATAGGTAGAATGATGGTCTACAGAGTAGACAACTGTCTGCAAAAACGACACCTTGCCAGTCTGGATTGGTGGGTTGGTTGGTTTGTTGTTTAACACCACACTCAGCAATATTCCAGCGATATGGTCTGTAAATAATCGAGTCTGAACCAGACAATCCAGTCATGGATTGCCAGTCTGGGTGACAGACTTACTTACTTTGTTACCCGGTTTTAGTTCAAGCCTTATCACTATCACTGTATCAGTGTAATGAACGGACCCGTGAAGATCTGGGGTAGAATAGGTCTTCAGCAACCCATGCTTGCTGTAAAAGGCGATAATCATGGACGCGACAATCATGGACGTAGACAATGATACCTGAAATAACGTAACCTCAGATGACACAGGTGTATGATTCTACCATCCAGCATGGGTGACAAGGATGTGTGCTTGTGAAATAGCATTTATTATATGTAAATTAGTTGCCGCTTCTGGTTTTTAGTACATGAACTTTACTTTATTCTGTGGCGAAGACGTTTTGAATTACATGTTACTGATCATTCCTGAATAAAACATTGTTTAAATCAATATGAAAGGACTTTTGAGAAAAAAGAATATTTATTTTCCTAAAAAAACGAAAACTAACAGAGTTAGTTTGTTGGATTCCGTCGTGGCACACGGCGATCCAAAACATCCTATACATGCTCAATCGGAGAGAAATCGTGTGAACCTGTCTTTCGTTATCCTGTTGAAAACGTCCCCCACGATGATGTGATGTTGCACGATATAGTCTCCATGTGGGCTTTTGATAGCATAGATTGTCTAGCCTGTAGCCCATCAATCTACCTGTCTCGTTGATCCCACTTCAAAATGACACATTGCCAGTCCGAGTAACGGACGTGCATGCGGTCTTCTGATAAGTTTAATGATGTGTTTGATGCAATCATTGAAACGTCCATAGTGAGTGAGTTTGATTTTAAGCCGCTTTAAGCAATATTCGAGAAATATCACGGCGGGGGACACTATAAATGGGCTTCACACATTGTACCCATGTCGGGAATCGAACCAGGGTCTTGGACGTGCGGTCGGGTAGCCTAGTGGTTAAAGCCTTATCTCGTCACGTCGAAGACCCGGGTTTGATTCCCGACATTGGTACAATGTGTGAAGCCCATTTCTTGTGTCCCCCACCGTGATATTGCTGGAATATTGATAAAAGCGGTGTAAAATCAAACTCACCCACTCACTCACTCACTTGAATTGAGTAACGATACATTTCCCCACCCCCAACAGTTCTTGGTTTTTTTAAGAATTAATAAGTGGAAGTGGGGTGGGGACTATTTTAAGTTTCTCTCACATTTACCACTAATTTTAATAGGATGCTGGAAATAAATATACACTGCCATCTTGACTGACTGTCGATAGTGTTTGTGATCTCAACAATCACCGGGCGTGTCCATGAAGAGAGGATCTCATTTAGGTTTGTGATTTTGACACTTGCTCTCTAAGCATGCTGAGTATTAGTGCTGAGGAATTCCATAGGTAGTAGTAGTAAAATGTTTATTAAAGTGTCATATAATGTGAGAGCTGGGAAATTAAGCTACGAAATCAGAAGACTCACAGGAAACAATAACAAACTCCTCGATTCAACAACGAAAGAAAAAGAAAGGATAGGTAGAGAGAGAGAGGTTTTTTTAATAATCAAGGCGGCGACTGTCGTCTCTTAAACATTTAAAAAAACATTGCGGCAAGCAATTTTTGTTTAACGTTTGAATTCATTGAGTAAATAAAAAAATCTTCTTTTCGCATATCACATTATAATTGCGGTTGTTTTCTTCAGCTGCACAGTATAAATCATGCTGTAAATGTTCATAAAAACTGCATTGTAGTAATAAATGACATTCATCTTCCACCAAATCAGAATTGGAATATTTACGTAACCTCTCCGATAGTGGTATAGGAGGCTTGGAATATCTGCATGTCTCAACAAACAAAGGAAAAATTTCACATCTAAAATACGGCGGTGGTCTCTATACAAAATATTTTAACATAGAAATCAAGAGAAGGTGTACACTTATATTTTCTTTAGGTATGTAACTTATTTCCTTTCACATTACTCGTATCATTCCAAAGCGAAGTGTGCCAATTAACTGTGTCATCTTGAAATAAAACCTTTTTGATTTCTGATTTCCAGTAAGTGAGTACAATTATACTGGTTCAAAAGGTTCATAATTTTACTATACCAAGATGTGGTAAAACATCTAGACCATCGGTGAATAATATTAAGCAGGCGCTCTTGCTGCATAGATTTAAGTCTGAAACATTCTATTTTCTGAGTAACCAAAACTGAGCACAAGCCCATATTCCCTCTACTTGCAAGAACAGGAGCATATTAATTTAAACCAAGAAACATCCTGGCAGCCTTATTTTTCACAACCTCAACTTCTTTAACACTATGTAAGCCCTATATACTGGCACCATAAAACAAAACTGGTTCAAGCAGCGATTTATACAACTTCGTAAAAACATCATATGACATTCCACCAGCATAACTATACTTAGTGTGCAGAGCAGATAACACTCTACGAGCAGACTTACAAAGCTCTTTCCCGGTCTTATGCATGTCTAAAGATTCGTTTAAACACAATCCTAGATAACGGTAAGCGCTATCATAAGAAATGTGAGTATTGCCACACGAAAACTGATAACTAACAAGATCTAACAACAGATTTCTTCCGAAAATGGCCAATTTGTGTTGTCATTATTAATGCTAAAACGCCATTTTATACACCAAGTAATGACAATATCTAACATATTTTGGAGATATGCTTCCCAATATCATCAGTGTATAACAAAATGGATAACATTTCGTTATCCAATGGTACATCCCATGTGAGATTCGTTATCTCCGTGGCTAGATCATTTCAATATATAGAAAATAGAGTTGGTGACACTTTGCAACCTTGCTTAACACCCTTGGAAACATTAAAAGAATCTGTTATATAGTCATAAACGCGTACTGCACATCTCACATCTTGATATAGGGCTTGAACAGCTTTCAATATCTTCCCTTGTACTCCAACAGACATAAGTTTAAACCATTGACAATTGCGGTCAGCGGTGTCAAATACTTTCTTTAAGCCTATAAAACACACATAGGTTGATAGTCAAGCACATTTCCTATTATTTATCACATTATATAAAGTATACAAATGGTCGATACAGTTTTTGTCAGAACGGAAACCATTTTGTTCCTGAGACAATATACTGTTCTTCTCAAGCCAGTTCCTGATTTTATTTTCAAAACGCCTGCATATATTTTACATGGTATAGACACAAAATTAATACCTCTATACGACAGAGGATCAGTCGGGACACTTTTATCTTTTGGTATGGGGCTAATAAGTCCTTGGTTCCACTGTGTAGGTGATACAGAATAATCAAAGCAGTAACTGACTAATTTATGCAATACTTTTATGCAGTGAGAGTTCTGTAAAACTTCAACTGGAACACCATCCAGATGGACAGCTTTGCCTTTTTTGGTGTGTTAAACCTCTCGTTCGACTTCCTGGTATGGGATGGGCATGTTGAGCTCGAGCGTATCCATCTGCACGTGCTCTGTACCGTTACCTACACGTTCACACACTTTATAATAGTGGTCTTCATCAAACGAACTGTTATCACTGCCTTTATAAAGCGTGTTGTACGAGTCCCTCCAATGTTCATAGGTAACATTTCACTATTTCTGTGTTTTTTAGGGGGTTTATTTCTTTCGTTCTAAGTGGATAGATCAGACTTGGTTAGAATACGTGTATATTTGTGACAGCTTAAAGCTGGTGGCATTTGGTGAACTTTAGAAGTGATGATGAATAGTATTATTGTTTGTCAATTTGTTAATAGAACTGTGATATAAAGTATATGTTGGCTGTTGTTTTTATTCAGTGTGGGGAAATGTCCTATATACAACAAAGCGGTCATGACACTGACACTGGACAATGAGCTATTTGTTTATCAATGTTTATGTTTGAGAGAGCATCTATCGATGTTAACTATGTTATGAGGAACATCAGGTGAATGAATGATTGGATGGAGAGAGCATGTATACATGTACACGTAAAAGCAAGAGTAATGGACAAATGAAACACAGAGGGTTAATTATCACTGAATGGTAATCAGCAATGGACAAATAGAAGTCAGTTACGTGGCACAGACCAATTAAATCGATAAGTGCAAGCATTATCAGATATGTTCCCTGGTCACGATTTATAGCTTTCCACAAATGAAGAAAAAACATTTTATCCACTATCAGGTGAAAAGACGATTATGAGGTAGTAAACACCACAAAGAAAAGGGACATAACTCCGCGACGCTTTCAAGTAATTCATTGTGACTGAGTTTACTTGGTGAGAATTTGCCGTGGATAGTATATTGTCATAGTGTTTTGCTCATGAAGAACCAAACTGTTCTAACACAAATATCAACATTGAAGTCTTGTTTATTTGGTATTATCTTAGGAAAAATACTAATAATTCATATCCAAATAAATTAAATATAATATTCAAGAGTTCACACATGCATCTTTGCAGTCAATCTTCGGATGTCTCACAAAAAAACAACTCACATTAGTTGTAAAAACATGTCGCCAGGCATAATTTAGAAGATGCATGCCTGTTTACGTGACAGTCCTTACCAGATAAACAACACGCCGACCAATAACGATAATCCCCCCTCAAAGTGCCAGCCTCTGTTTTCAATAACCATAATCCGCTAGATAACCTGTATTGCATTGTTCACCGGGAACTAAAGGTGATAATAAATGGAATTAATGTCTTTGAAAAATAACCGATCAGCGATTGCTGTGCGTCCTTCCACTATATAAGTAGGTGCAGTTCGAGTGCAAAGTCACACTGCATCTGAATACATTTTGGAACGCCAGCAACTCGTATATCATCATTCATTGATTTTAACTGAAGGTAAGACATTTTCATGTGTTCTTTCAAGTTGATTTCTCTTTGTATATATTGTATACTTTCAACTACGTGCGTAGGTTTATTGTGAAGTTGTATTGTTCAATGTATTTTGAATATCCTATAACGTTTTATGAGTGTTTTGAACATCAAATTGTTCCACTGTTCCAACTATATGTGTCACCTAAGTATGTTGTGTAAATCTTAGGTCACCAAAATAGATGAACAGTCATTCCAAATCAATATTTGGTAACGGTTTGATAAATGATAAATAAAGTAACAACAACGTTTTGTAAGTAAAATATTTTATGTCGTGAATGAGCATTGGACTACAATGGTCATCGGTAATGCTGGACTTCATGAACAGTCAACTTTTTTCGTCTAGGAAGTATACATGTAACTCTCATATAAGAGCTCAAAATAAAATAGTTGATGGGACATGTATTAATAGAACGACGGTGAGTCGGTTGACTTTACTACCCTAATAATCTAAAATGACGTCCATCAATTCAAACTGACAGTAGCATTGAGAATCACGTGTATTAATTGGGAGACTGGTTAACTTCAACATTTTGTTTTTAAAGAACAAATTCTAGTCTGATTTTGATTTATTATGAACATTTTTATCTTTTTCACTATGAATGGTTGTGTCAGATGAAATCAACATGCTTTATGATAGTCATCTGTGATAATGTAATTTATAAATATATGTTAATTATCCTCTATTCATTAAAAAAAAATTCAAGGCAAAGTTACCGTGAGATTACGCTACTGCGACATTGGTATGTCGAGTAAAATATGTCTCACCCAATTTTCGATCATAATATGAAAATTAGTCACAATTGACACTTTTTCGACACAATTTGAAATGACTGTGTTTCCCATGACATAAATGACAACTTGAATAGATAAACAATGATGATACTCAAAAGAATATTTTAAAATCATAAATATATATTTAATGTTGGACATTTGTCTATTATTACTTTGTCATTTCTCAACCTTTCGTGTCAGAAGTATACAATGAAAGATGCGCAAAAGGCTTTTACATGGAATTATCAGGGCAAGTGTACATGCATAAGGTTCCACTAAGGGGATACAGGACACTGTTTATATTTATTTTGTAAAGTCGGCCAGAAATAAAGTAATAAATTAAATACTTCAAGTATTAAAATGTATAGGTATGAAGCAATTGTTTATATTATGAACGAGGGTACTTCGTGAATCGTTGGTCACTAACACACCTGTTAAATCGTGAGACGTCAATGTTCTGTGGTCCGAGCTGTGTCGCTGTTACAAAGCCGGGTGGTCGTACCCAGAGGCGACAGTTTTTGATGGCGCAAATTTCGCCGATTATGCCTCCCCCCCCCCCCCCCCCACCCCCCCCCAATATGCTGTATGTAGCGGAAATATGGAACGCCCAGTATAAGAACTGGAAAAATTTCACTTTTTTATCAGTAATAGTGGTGGAATGATAGGGTCTATCTCATTGGCTCTGATAACTGGCCTCTGGATTTTGCATTATTGTATTCTCTAGCGTTGGCGATTTATATTTGCAACACAGACATGTCTATTCTCCTTTGACAGCATGATGCCTATGCCCTTAAAGTATTACAGCAGTCATGGTACGGTAGGTGAATACACTTCAGGGAGAAATTATAAAAAAGATTAATATAACAAATGACACCATTGACATATTATAAGATACAAGATATAATGGATGTGTTGAATGTGGAAACACATTTACAGTATCAGGTAGTTTATCATTATACATATTGTGTCATATTGTGTATGGTCCCAGCCAGAGTTCTTGTGGAAACATCTGTAGGAAATGCATTGATTTGATAAAAGAACGTCACAACTTCTTTATGTTTACAGTGAACACGATAACACGAAGTTAATAATGGAAGCACAAAGCCAACCACAGAATACTGCCTCTGTTACTGAAACACGTGTGATCACCATCTGTGAGAGTGAATTGCTGGAAACAGGTCGTCTCAAGAAACACTGTGTTGCTGACACACTGGGAACAGGTGATCTCCAGCAACACAAAGATCGTGGTGGTCCTTCAAAGCGATCACAGTGTGGAAAGTGTGGGGCAACATTTATTAAATCAGGTGCCATGAAAAGGCACATGCTTTGTCACAGTGAAGTCAAGCTTCATCAGTGTGATGAATGTGGGAAAGGATTTACTCAATCATGCAGCCTGAAGGCACACATGTGCATTCACAGTGAAATCAAGCCTGATCAGTGCACTGTGTGTGAAAAAACATTTACACTATCAGATGCCCTGCAGAGACACATGCGAATTCACACTGGAATCAAGCCTTATCAGTGTGTTGAATGTGGGAAGAGATTTACACAGTCAGGTAACCTGCAGTCACACATGAGGGTTCACAGTGGAATCAAGCCGTATCAGTGTGTTGAATGTGGGAAAGGATTTAAACATTCACATCAGCTGCAGTCTCATATGAGGATTCACAGTGGAATCAAGCCGTATCAGTGTGTTGAATGTGGGAAAGGATTTACACAATCATGTAACCTGCAGACCCACATGAGGGTTCACAGTGGAATCAAGCCTTATCAGTGCATTGTGTGTGAAAAAACATTTACACTATCAGATGCCCTGCAGAGACACATGCGAATTCACACTGGAATCAAGCCGTATCAGTGTGTTGAATGTGGGAAACGATTTACACATTCAGGTAGCCTGCAGTCACACATGAGGGTTCACAGTGGAATCAAGCCGTATCAGTGTGTTGAATGTGGGAAAGGATTTACACAGGCAGGTAGCCTGAAGTCACACATGAGGATTCACAGTGGAATCAAGCCGTATCAGTGTGCTGAATGTGGGAAAGGATTTACACAGGCAGGTAACCTGCAGAGACACATGAGGGTTCACAGTGGAATCAAGCCGTATCGGTTGATCGAATTGTCTGGATTGTAATCTCATAAGTGAATGAGTGTGCAAAACAACTGATAAAGGATAAATCAACAGACGTGTTATCGGGTAATCCTTTAATCCATGCATGGGCTACCGACACCTAGAGATTGGTGTATTCCATCTGCTCTACATAACTACAGATATAGTGGGGTCAAGATTAGACTTTCTCCATTTATATACAAATTATTATCATTTGAAAATAAATATCTTCAAGAAGGTGGGTAGCTCAGATGTTTATGCTCATCCATCATCAAGACACATATTATTATTATTCAAAATCTTTCATGGTCAGAACGGGAAAACGTTTTGAAAACGGCAAGCATTTGGGGCCTTTAACCTTTACTAATTAGACGACAATGTCGACCTTGACGTAACGTACCTGAAATAACGTAACCTCAGATGACACAGGTGTATGATTCTACCATCCAGCATGGGTGACAAGGATGTGTGCTTGTGAAATAGCATTTATTATATGTAAATTAGTTGCCGCTTCTGGTTTTTAGTACATGAACTTTACTTTATTCTGTGGCGAAGACGTTTTGAATTACATGTTACTGATCATTCCTGAATAAAACATTGTTTAAATCAATATGAAAGGACTTTTGAGAAAAAAGAATATTTATTTTCCTAAAAAAACGAAAACTAACAGAGTTAGTTTGTTGGATTCCGTCGTGGCACACGGCGATCCAAAACATCCTATACATGCTCAATCGGAGAGAAATCGTGTGAACCTGTCTTTCGTTATCCTGTTGAAAACGTCCCCCACGATGATGTGATGTTGCACGATATAGTCTCCATGTGGGCTTTTGATAGCATAGATTGTCTAGCCTGTAGCCCATCAATCTACCTGTCTCGTTGATCCCACTTCAAAATGACACATTGCCAGTCCGAGTAACGGACGTGCATGCGGTCTTCTGATAAGTTTAATGATGTGTTTGATGCAATCATTGAAACGTCCATAGTGAGTGAGTTTGATTTTAAGCCGCTTTAAGCAATATTCGAGAAATATCACGGCGGGGGACACTATAAATGGGCTTCACACATTGTACCCATGTCGGGAATCGAACCAGGGTCTTGGACGTGCGGTCGGGTAGCCTAGTGGTTAAAGCCTTATCTCGTCACGTCGAAGACCCGGGTTTGATTCCCGACATTGGTACAATGTGTGAAGCCCATTTCTTGTGTCCCCCACCGTGATATTGCTGGAATATTGATAAAAGCGGTGTAAAATCAAACTCACCCACTCACTCACTCACTTGAATTGAGTAACGATACATTTCCCCACCCCCAACAGTTCTTGGTTTTTTTAAGAATTAATAAGTGGAAGTGGGGTGGGGACTATTTTAAGTTTCTCTCACATTTACCACTAATTTTAATAGGATGCTGGAAATAAATATACACTGCCATCTTGACTGACTGTCGATAGTGTTTGTGATCTCAACAATCACCGGGCGTGTCCATGAAGAGAGGATCTCATTTAGGTTTGTGATTTTGACACTTGCTCTCTAAGCATGCTGAGTATTAGTGCTGAGGAATTCCATAGGTAGTAGTAGTAAAATGTTTATTAAAGTGTCATATAATGTGAGAGCTGGGAAATTAAGCTACGAAATCAGAAGACTCACAGGAAACAATAACAAACTCCTCGATTCAACAACGAAAGAAAAAGAAAGGATAGGTAGAGAGAGAGAGGTTTTTTTAATAATCAAGGCGGCGACTGTCGTCTCTTAAACATTTAAAAAAACATTGCGGCAAGCAATTTTTGTTTAACGTTTGAATTCATTGAGTAAATAAAAAAATCTTCTTTTCGCATATCACATTATAATTGCGGTTGTTTTCTTCAGCTGCACAGTATAAATCATGCTGTAAATGTTCATAAAAACTGCATTGTAGTAATAAATGACATTCATCTTCCACCAAATCAGAATTGGAATATTTACGTAACCTCTCCGATAGTGGTATAGGAGGCTTGGAATATCTGCATGTCTCAACAAACAAAGGAAAAATTTCACATCTAAAATACGGCGGTGGTCTCTATACAAAATATTTTAACATAGAAATCAAGAGAAGGTGTACACTTATATTTTCTTTAGGTATGTAACTTATTTCCTTTCACATTACTCGTATCATTCCAAAGCGAAGTGTGCCAATTAACTGTGTCATCTTGAAATAAAACCTTTTTGATTTCTGATTTCCAGTAAGTGAGTACAATTATACTGGTTCAAAAGGTTCATAATTTTACTATACCAAGATGTGGTAAAACATCTAGACCATCGGTGAATAATATTAAGCAGGCGCTCTTGCTGCATAGATTTAAGTCTGAAACATTCTATTTTCTGAGTAACCAAAACTGAGCACAAGCCCATATTCCCTCTACTTGCAAGAACAGGAGCATATTAATTTAAACCAAGAAACATCCTGGCAGCCTTATTTTTCACAACCTCAACTTCTTTAACACTATGTAAGCCCTATATACTGGCACCATAAAACAAAACTGGTTCAAGCAGCGATTTATACAACTTCGTAAAAACATCATATGACATTCCACCAGCATAACTATACTTAGTGTGCAGAGCAGATAACACTCTACGAGCAGACTTACAAAGCTCTTTCCCGGTCTTATGCATGTCTAAAGATTCGTTTAAACACAATCCTAGATAACGGTAAGCGCTATCATAAGAAATGTGAGTATTGCCACACGAAAACTGATAACTAACAAGATCTAACAACAGATTTCTTCCGAAAATGGCCAATTTGTGTTGTCATTATTAATGCTAAAACGCCATTTTATACACCAAGTAATGACAATATCTAACATATTTTGGAGATATGCTTCCCAATATCATCAGTGTATAACAAAATGGATAACATTTCGTTATCCAATGGTACATCCCATGTGAGATTCGTTATCTCCGTGGCTAGATCATTTCAATATATAGAAAATAGAGTTGGTGACACTTTGCAACCTTGCTTAACACCCTTGGAAACATTAAAAGAATCTGTTATATAGTCATAAACGCGTACTGCACATCTCACATCTTGATATAGGGCTTGAACAGCTTTCAATATCTTCCCTTGTACTCCAACAGACATAAGTTTAAACCATTGACAATTGCGGTCAGCGGTGTCAAATACTTTCTTTAAGCCTATAAAACACACATAGGTTGATAGTCAAGCACATTTCCTATTATTTATCACATTATATAAAGTATACAAATGGTCGATACAGTTTTTGTCAGAACGGAAACCATTTTGTTCCTGAGACAATATACTGTTCTTCTCAAGCCAGTTCCTGATTTTATTTTCAAAACGCCTGCATATATTTTACATGGTATAGACACAAAATTAATACCTCTATACGACAGAGGATCAGTCGGGACACTTTTATCTTTTGGTATGGGGCTAATAAGTCCTTGGTTCCACTGTGTAGGTGATACAGAATAATCAAAGCAGTAACTGACTAATTTATGCAATACTTTTATGCAGTGAGAGTTCTGTAAAACTTCAACTGGAACACCATCCAGATGGACAGCTTTGCCTTTTTTGGTGTGTTAAACCTCTCGTTCGACTTCCTGGTATGGGATGGGCATGTTGAGCTCGAGCGTATCCATCTGCACGTGCTCTGTACCGTTACCTACACGTTCACACACTTTATAATAGTGGTCTTCATCAAACGAACTGTTATCACTGCCTTTATAAAGCGTGTTGTACGAGTCCCTCCAATGTTCATAGGTAACATTTCACTATTTCTGTGTTTTTTAGGGGGTTTATTTCTTTCGTTCTAAGTGGATAGATCAGACTTGGTTAGAATACGTGTATATTTGTGACAGCTTAAAGCTGGTGGCATTTGGTGAACTTTAGAAGTGATGATGAATAGTATTATTGTTTGTCAATTTGTTAATAGAACTGTGATATAAAGTATATGTTGGCTGTTGTTTTTATTCAGTGTGGGGAAATGTCCTATATACAACAAAGCGGTCATGACACTGACACTGGACAATGAGCTATTTGTTTATCAATGTTTATGTTTGAGAGAGCATCTATCGATGTTAACTATGTTATGAGGAACATCAGGTGAATGAATGATTGGATGGAGAGAGCATGTATACATGTACACGTAAAAGCAAGAGTAATGGACAAATGAAACACAGAGGGTTAATTATCACTGAATGGTAATCAGCAATGGACAAATAGAAGTCAGTTACGTGGCACAGACCAATTAAATCGATAAGTGCAAGCATTATCAGATATGTTCCCTGGTCACGATTTATAGCTTTCCACAAATGAAGAAAAAACATTTTATCCACTATCAGGTGAAAAGACGATTATGAGGTAGTAAACACCACAAAGAAAAGGGACATAACTCCGCGACGCTTTCAAGTAATTCATTGTGACTGAGTTTACTTGGTGAGAATTTGCCGTGGATAGTATATTGTCATAGTGTTTTGCTCATGAAGAACCAAACTGTTCTAACACAAATATCAACATTGAAGTCTTGTTTATTTGGTATTATCTTAGGAAAAATACTAATAATTCATATCCAAATAAATTAAATATAATATTCAAGAGTTCACACATGCATCTTTGCAGTCAATCTTCGGATGTCTCACAAAAAAACAACTCACATTAGTTGTAAAAACATGTCGCCAGGCATAATTTAGAAGATGCATGCCTGTTTACGTGACAGTCCTTACCAGATAAACAACACGCCGACCAATAACGATAATCCCCCCTCAAAGTGCCAGCCTCTGTTTTCAATAACCATAATCCGCTAGATAACCTGTATTGCATTGTTCACCGGGAACTAAAGGTGATAATAAATGGAATTAATGTCTTTGAAAAATAACCGATCAGCGATTGCTGTGCGTCCTTCCACTATATAAGTAGGTGCAGTTCGAGTGCAAAGTCACACTGCATCTGAATACATTTTGGAACGCCAGCAACTCGTATATCATCATTCATTGATTTTAACTGAAGGTAAGACATTTTCATGTGTTCTTTCAAGTTGATTTCTCTTTGTATATATTGTATACTTTCAACTACGTGCGTAGGTTTATTGTGAAGTTGTATTGTTCAATGTATTTTGAATATCCTATAACGTTTTATGAGTGTTTTGAACATCAAATTGTTCCACTGTTCCAACTATATGTGTCACCTAAGTATGTTGTGTAAATCTTAGGTCACCAAAATAGATGAACAGTCATTCCAAATCAATATTTGGTAACGGTTTGATAAATGATAAATAAAGTAACAACAACGTTTTGTAAGTAAAATATTTTATGTCGTGAATGAGCATTGGACTACAATGGTCATCGGTAATGCTGGACTTCATGAACAGTCAACTTTTTTCGTCTAGGAAGTATACATGTAACTCTCATATAAGAGCTCAAAATAAAATAGTTGATGGGACATGTATTAATAGAACGACGGTGAGTCGGTTGACTTTACTACCCTAATAATCTAAAATGACGTCCATCAATTCAAACTGACAGTAGCATTGAGAATCACGTGTATTAATTGGGAGACTGGTTAACTTCAACATTTTGTTTTTAAAGAACAAATTCTAGTCTGATTTTGATTTATTATGAACATTTTTATCTTTTTCACTATGAATGGTTGTGTCAGATGAAATCAACATGCTTTATGATAGTCATCTGTGATAATGTAATTTATAAATATATGTTAATTATCCTCTATTCATTAAAAAAAAATTCAAGGCAAAGTTACCGTGAGATTACGCTACTGCGACATTGGTATGTCGAGTAAAATATGTCTCACCCAATTTTCGATCATAATATGAAAATTAGTCACAATTGACACTTTTTCGACACAATTTGAAATGACTGTGTTTCCCATGACATAAATGACAACTTGAATAGATAAACAATGATGATACTCAAAAGAATATTTTAAAATCATAAATATATATTTAATGTTGGACATTTGTCTATTATTACTTTGTCATTTCTCAACCTTTCGTGTCAGAAGTATACAATGAAAGATGCGCAAAAGGCTTTTACATGGAATTATCAGGGCAAGTGTACATGCATAAGGTTCCACTAAGGGGATACAGGACACTGTTTATATTTATTTTGTAAAGTCGGCCAGAAATAAAGTAATAAATTAAATACTTCAAGTATTAAAATGTATAGGTATGAAGCAATTGTTTATATTATGAACGAGGGTACTTCGTGAATCGTTGGTCACTAACACACCTGTTAAATCGTGAGACGTCAATGTTCTGTGGTCCGAGCTGTGTCGCTGTTACAAAGCCGGGTGGTCGTACCCAGAGGCGACAGTTTTTGATGGCGCAAATTTCGCCGATTATGCCTCCCCCCCCCCCCCCACCCCCCCCCCAATATGCTGTATGTAGCGGAAATATGGAACGCCCAGTATAAGAACTGGAAAAATTTCACTTTTTTATCAGTAATAGTGGTGGAATGATAGGGTCTATCTCATTGGCTCTGATAACTGGCCTCTGGATTTTGCATTATTGTATTCTCTAGCGTTGGCGATTTATATTTGCAACACAGACATGTCTATTCTCCTTTGACAGCATGATGCCTATGCCCTTAAAGTATTACAGCAGTCATGGTACGGTAGGTGAATACACTTCAGGGAGAAATTATAAAAAAGATTAATATAACAAATGACACCATTGACATATTATAAGATACAAGATATAATGGATGTGTTGAATGTGGAAACACATTTACAGTATCAGGTAGTTTATCATTATACATATTGTGTCATATTGTGTATGGTCCCAGCCAGAGTTGTCGGTGTTCTTGTGGAAACATCTGTAGGAAATGCATTGATTTGATAAAAGAACGTCACAACTTCTTTATGTTTACAGTGAACACGATAACACGAAGTTAATAATGGAAGCACAAAGCCAACCACAGAATACTGCCTCTGTTACTGAAACACGTGTGATCACCATCTGTGAGAGTGAATTGCTGGAAACAGGTCGTCTCAAGAAACACTGTGTTGCTGACACACTGGGAACAGGTGATCTCCAGCAACACAAAGATCGTGGTGGTCCTTCAAAGCGATCACAGTGTGGAAAGTGTGGGGCAACATTTATTAAATCAGGTGCCATGAAAAGGCACATGCTTTGTCACAGTGAAGTCAAGCTTCATCAGTGTGATGAATGTGGGAAAGGATTTACTCAATCATGCAGCCTGAAGGCACACATGTGCATTCACAGTGAAATCAAGCCTGATCAGTGCACTGTGTGTGAAAAAACATTTACACTATCAGATGCCCTGCAGAGACACATGCGAATTCACACTGGAATCAAGCCTTATCAGTGTGTTGAATGTGGGAAGAGATTTACACAGTCAGGTAACCTGCAGTCACACATGAGGGTTCACAGTGGAATCAAGCCGTATCAGTGTGTTGAATGTGGGAAAGGATTTAAACATTCACATCAGCTGCAGTCTCATATGAGGATTCACAGTGGAATCAAGCCGTATCAGTGTGTTGAATGTGGGAAAGGATTTACACAATCATGTAACCTGCAGACCCACATGAGGGTTCACAGTGGAATCAAGCCTTATCAGTGCATTGTGTGTGAAAAAACATTTACACTATCAGATGCCCTGCAGAGACACATGCGAATTCACACTGGAATCAAGCCGTATCAGTGTGTTGAATGTGGGAAACGATTTACACATTCAGGTAGCCTGCAGTCACACATGAGGGTTCACAGTGGAATCAAGCCGTATCAGTGTGTTGAATGTGGGAAAGGATTTACACAGGCAGGTAGCCTGAAGTCACACATGAGGATTCACAGTGGAATCAAGCCGTATCAGTGTGCTGAATGTGGGAAAGGATTTACACAGGCAGGTAACCTGCAGAGACACATGAGGGTTCACAGTGGAATCAAGCCGTATCGGTTGATCGAATTGTCTGGATTGTAATCTCATAAGTGAATGAGTGTGCAAAACAACTGATAAAGGATAAATCAACAGACGTGTTATCGGGTAATCCTTTAATCCATGCATGGGCTACCGACACCTAGAGATTGGTGTATTCCATCTGCTCTACATAACTACAGATATAGTGGGGTCAAGATTAGACTTTCTCCATTTATATACAAATTATTATCATTTGAAAATAAATATCTTCAAGAAGGTGGGTAGCTCAGATGTTTATGCTCATCCATCATCAAGACACATATTATTATTATTCAAAATCTTTCATGGTCAGAACGGGAAAACGTTTTGAAAACGGCAAGCATTTGGGGCCTTTAACCTTTACTAATTAGACGACAATGTCGACCTTGACGTTTGTCAATTTCTTTGTCAATTCAGGAGTTTAAACCTTTACATTTGTCAGCCTTTTGTGATAAATGCTATATTCAAGCCTGCGTGGGTACACTCTTAAGGTGTTTAACATATATGATATGCAATTTAATTGCCTGATTCTGAGGGCCAATTCTGGATTCTATGAACTGAAATATTCTGTGGCGTTGACGTTTTGAATTATCTGATACTGATTCTTTCTGAATAAAATCAACAACATCAACTCCCTTGTTGGTCACACTTCATAATGACACTTGTCGGTTAGAGTAACAGACGTGCATATGATCTTCTGATAGGTAGAGCGATGGGCTACAGACTAGACAATTGTCTGCAAAAACGACACCTTGCCAGTCTGGATTGGTGGGTTGGTTGGTTTGTTGTTTAACACCACACTCAGCAATATTCCAGCGATATGGACTGTAAATAATCGAGTCTGAACCAGACAATCCAGTCATGGATTGCCAGTCTGGGTGACAGACTTACTTACTTTGTTACCCGGTTTTAGTTCAAGCCTTATCACTGTCACTGTATCAGTGTAATGAATGGACCCGGATAATATAATCATGGACGCGACAATCATGGACGTAGACAATGATGCCTGAAATAACTTAACCTCAGATAACACACACACAGGTGTATGATTCTACCATCCAGCATGGGTGACAAGGATGTGTGCTTGTGATATAGTATTTATTATATGTAAATTAGTTGCCGCTTCTGGTTTTTAGTACATGAACTTTACTTTATTCTGTGGCGAAGACGTTTTGAATTTCATGTTACTGATCATTCCTGAATAAAACATTGTTTAAATCAACATGAAAGGACTTTTGAGAAAAAAGAATATTTTTTTCTTAAAAAACGAAAACTAAGAGAGTTAGATTCCGTCGGGGCACACGGCGATCCAAAACATCCTATACATGCTCAATCGGAGAGAAATCGTGTGAACCTGTCTTTCGTTATCTTGTTGAAAAAGTCCCCCACGATGATGTGATGTTGCACGATCTAGTCTCCATGTGGGCTTTTGATAGCATATATTGTCTAGCCTGTAGCCCATCAATCTACCTGTCTCGTTGGTCCCACTTCAAAATGACACATTGCCAGTCCGAGTAACGGACGTGCATGCGGTCTTCTGATAAGTTTAATGATGTGTTTGATGCAATCATTGAAACGTCCATAGTGAGTGAGTTTGATTTTAAGCCGCTTTAACCACTAGGCTCACGCCTCAGACCCGGTCACAAAAAGCACTATGACAAGGTTTGTCCATTTTGCAATCAACTTGCACACTTGCTACTGGAATGTCAAGACCATGCCGTGTGGTTTAAAGTGTTCGCTCATCACGTCCAAGACCCGGGTTCGATTCCCGACATGGGTACAATGTGTGAAGCCCATTTCTTGTGTACCCACCGTGATATTGCTGGAATATTGATAAAAGCGGTGTAAAATCAAACTCATCCACTCACTCACTTGAATTTAGTAACGGTACATTTCCCCACCCCCAACAGTTCTTGGTTTTTTTAAGAATTAATAAGTGGAAGTGGGGTGGGGACTATTTTAAGTTCTTACATTTACCACTAATTTTAATAGGATGCTGGAAATAAATATACACTGCCATCTTGACTGACTGTCGATAGTGTTTGTGATCTCAACAATCACCGGGCGTGTCCATGTAGAGAGGATCTCATTTAGGTTTGTGATTTTGACACTTGCTCTCTAAGCATGCTGAGTATTAGTGCTGAGGAATTCCCTAGGTAGTAGTAGTAAAATGTTTATTAAAGTGTCATATAATGTGAGAGCTGGGAAATTAAGCTACGAAATCAGAAGACTCACAGGAAACAATAACAAACTCCTCGATTCAACAACGAAAGAAAAAGAAAGGATAGGTAGGGAGAGAGGTAATTTAATAATCAAGGCGACTACTGTCGTCTCTTAAACATTTTAAAAAGCATTGCGGCAAGCAATTTTTGTTTAACGTTTGAATTCATTGAGTAAATAAAAAATTCTTCTTTTCGCATATCACATTATAATTGCGGTTGTTTTTCTTCAGCTGCACAGTATAAATCATGCTGTAAATGTTCATAAAAACTGCATTGTAGTAATAAATGACATTCATTTTCCACCAAATCACAATTGCAATATTTACATAACCTCTCCGACAGTGGTATAGGAGGCTTGGAATATCTGCATCTCTCAACAAACAAAGGAAAAATTTCACATCTAAACTTGGCTAAAATACGGCGGTGGTCTCTATACAAAATATTTTAACATAGAAATCAAGAGAAGGTGTACACTTATATTTCTGTAGGTATGTAACATTTTTCCATTCACATTACCCGTATCATTCCAAAGCGAAGTGTGCCATTAACTGCGTCATCTTGAAATAAAAGGTTTTTAATATACCTAACACAGCGTTTAACACCCCATCTGATTTCCACTAAGTGAGTACAATTATACTGGTTCAAAAGGTTCATAATTTTACTATACCAAGATGTGGTAAAACATCTAGACCATCGGTGAATAATATTAAGCAGGCGCTCTTGCTGCATAGATTTAAGTCTGAAACATTCTATTTTCTGAGTAACCAAAACTGAGCACCAGCCCATATCCCCTCTACTTGTCAGAACAGGAGCATATTTATTTAAACCAAGAAACATCCTGGCAGCCTTATTTTTCACAACCTCAACTTCTTTAACACTACGTAAGCCCTATATACTGGCACCAAAACACAAAACTTGTTCAAGCAGCGATTTATACAACTTCGTAAAAACATCATATGACATTCCACCAGCATAACTATACTTAGTGTGCAGAGCAGATAACACTCTACGAGCAGACTTACAAAGCTCTTTCCCGGTCTTGCGCATGTCTAAAGATTCGTTAAAACACAATCCTAGATAACGGTAAGCGCTATCATAAGAAATGTGAGTATTGCCACACGAAAACTGATCACTAACAAGATCTAACAACAGATTTCTTCCGAAAATGGACAATTTGTGTTGTCATCATTAATGTTAATACGCAATTTTAAACACCAAGTAATTACAATATCTAAGATATTTTGGAGATATGCTTCCCAATATCATCAGTGTATAACAAAATGGATAACATTTCGTTATCCAATGGTACATCCCATGTGAGATTCGTTATCTCCGTGGCTAGATCATTTCTATATATAGAAAATAGAGTTGGTGACAATTTGCAACCTTGCTTAACACCCTTGGAAACATTAAAAGAATCTGTTATATAGTCATTAACGCGTACTGCACATCTCACATCTTGAGATATGACTTGAACAGCTTTCAATATCTTCCCTTGTACTCCAACAGACATAAGTTTAAACCATTGATAATTGCGGTCAGCAGTGTCAAATACTTTCTTTAAGTCTATAAAACATACATAGGTTGATAGTCAAGCACATTTCCTATTATTTATCACATTATATAAAGTATACAAATGGTCGATACAGTTTCTGTCAGAACGGAAACCATTTTGTTCCTGAGGCAATATACTGTTCTTCTCAAGCCAGTTCCTGATTCTATTTTCAAAACGCCTGCATATATTTTACACGGTATAGACTCAACATTAATTATTATTATTATCATCTTTATTCCTCCATAGGAGAGTTACATGCAGTTCATTACGGGTTATACAGATATTAACAAAAGAAATAACAAGATTAGGTTAAGAGTCAGGATATAGTGTCGAACACAGTTGGTGTATGTTCTGGATCACAGTTCTTGCAAACAGCTCATTGTCTTCTTCACTCGCTTGTACAGGAGGTGTGCATGACAGCAGACTGCACACTAGGTCAACGTCACACATGGAGTGTAAGGAAGCACTCAATTCTATTGGACAACAGTTTACAATTTCACACCACATACGATCCCTGATGAATTCTGATGCTCTGCAGTGGCATATCATATGGACCAGAAGATCATTATAACCTTTGTCACAACGTTCGCAGTGACCATGTACTTTGCCTGGCCGCCAGAGTGCGCACATGTCCACAACAAATTTGCAGCAGTCTTTTAGTAAGGGCCAATGCTTGGCAACTTTCCATGCTTTGTGAGGTTTGATTTTGTTGTGTATTTTGGAAAAATGGTGTAGACGATGTTGCCACTCCGAGTCATGATGTTCTTCGATTTGCTTCTTGACCTTTTTCTTCCAGACTGATGGTTTCGAAAACTGCCCTGTGTCCATGAATGCTGTTAGATGCTTAAACTTGTTGTACTTCTGTAGAATCTGAACAATGTTTGATACAAAGACACGAGACCTTTTGGAACACCCATTTCTGAGCAGGAATAAGCGTGTGGTGAACAATATTCTGCTGAGGTAGTGTGTTGGGTTATAACACAGTTGTTCCAGAAACAGCAGCTTTTTAGCATCGATGTAAGATTCAATTGGATAGAATCCTAACAGAGCGTTACAGATATTTTTCGCGTTGTTTTAGGTAGGCCTTGAACAAGTTTTACAGAGAATCTCTGAGCACGTTCTAGAGCAAATAATTCCGTTTGATTTAAATCTGACCAGAGCTCGCATCCAAACATAGATTTGGGTAAGGACACCATTTTTAACAATTTCGAACTTGTCAACGGATTGAGGCCTTTACAGTCACAAAATTAATACCTCTATACGACAGAGGATCAGTCGGGACACTTTTATCTTTTGGTATTGGGCTAATAAGTTCTTGGTTCCACTGTGTAGGTGATACAGAATAATCAAAGCAGTAACTGACTAATTTATGCAATACTTTTATGCAGTGAGAGTTCTGTAAAACCTCAACTGCAACACCATCCAGATGGACAGCCTTGCCTTTTTTGGTGTGTTAAACCGTTCGTTCGACTTCCTGGTATGGGATGGGCATGTTGAGCTCGAGCGTATCCATCTGCACGTGCTCTGTACCGTAACCTACACGTTCACACACTTTATAATAGTGGTCTTCATCAAACGAGCTGTTATCACTGCCTTTATAAAGCGTGTTGTACGAGTCCCTCCAGTGTTCCTAGGTAACATTTTATTATGTCTGTGTTTTTATGTTGTTTATTCCTTCGTTCCAAGTGGGCAGATCGGACTTGGTTAGAATACGTGTATATCTGTGACAGCTTAAAGCTGGTGACATTTTGTGAACTTTAGAAGTGATGAATATTATTATTGTTTGTCAATTTGTTAATAGAACTTCGTTGGCTGTTGTTTATATCACTTTTATTCAGTGTGGGGAAATGTCCTTTATACCACGAAGTGGTCATTACATTGACACTGGACAATGAGCTATTTGTTTATCAATGTTTATGTTTGAGAGAGCATCTATCGATGTTAACTATGTTATGAGGAACATCAGGTGAATGAATGCTCTGATGCAGAGAGCATGTATACACGTAAAAGCAAGAGTAAAAAGACCACAAAGGTGGACACAATGGAAGCCAACAGTTAATATCGCCCGATTGGTGATTAGCAATGGACAAATGGAACAGAGAGGGTTAATCAGCACTGGACAAATAGATGTCAGTTGCGTGGCAGAGACCAATTAAATCGATAAGTGCAAGCATTATCAGATATGTTCCCTGGCCACGATTTATGGCTTTCCACAATGGTGGAAAGACGATTATGAGGTAGTAAACACCAAAAAGAAAAGGGACATAAGTAATCCATTGTAACTTAATTAACTTTGTGAGAATTTGCCGTGGATAGTATCTTGTCTAAGTGTTTTGTTCATGAAGAACCAAACTGTTCTAACACAAATATCAACATTAAAGTCGTGTTTGTTTAGTATTGTCCTAGTGCAAATATTAATAATCCATATCCAAATAAAATAAATATAATATTCAAGAGTTCACACATGCATCTTTGCAGTCAATCTTCGGATGTCTCACAAAAAACAACTCACATCAGTTGTAAAAACATGTCACCAGGCCTAATTTAGTAGATGCATGCCTGTTTACGTGACAGTTCTTACCAGATAAACAACACGCCGACCAATAACAATAATCCCCCCTCAAAGTGCCAGCTTCTGTTTTCAATAACCATAATCCGTTAGATAACCTGTATTGTATCAACCAGGAACTAAAGGTGATAATAAATGGAATTATTGTCTTCGGAAAATAACCGATCAGCGATTGCTGTGCGTCCTTCCGCTATATAAGTAGGTGCAGTTCGATTGCCAAGTCACACTACATCTGGATACATTTTGGAACGCTAGCAACTCTGATATCATCATTCATTGATTCTATCTGAAGGTAAGACATTTTCATGTGTTCTTTCAAGTTGATTTCTCTTTGTATGTATTCTATTCTTTCAACTACGTGCGTAGGTTTATTGTGAAGTTGTATTGTTCAATGTATTTTGAACATCAAATTGTTCTACTGTTCCAACTATATGTGTCACCTAAGTATGTTGTGTAAATCTTAGGTCACCAAAATAGATGTATAGTCATTCCTAATCAATATTTGGTAACGGTTTGATAAATGATAAAAAAAGTAACAAGAACGTTTTGTAATTAAAATATTTTATGTCGTGAATGCGCATTGGCCTTAATATTGTCATCGGTAATGCTGGACTTCATTAACAGTCAACTTTTCGTCTAGGAAGTATACATGTAACTCTCATATAAGAGCTCAACATAAAATAGGTCATGGGACATGTATTAATAGAACGACGGTGAATCAGTTGACTTTATTACCGTAATAACCTAAAATGACGTCCATCATTTCAAACTGACAGTAGCATTGAGAATTACGTGTATTAATTGAGAGACTGGTTAACTTCAACATTTTGTTAAAGAACAAATTCTAGTCTGATTTTGATTTATTATGAACATTTTTATCTTTTTTCACTATGAATAGTTGTGTGAGGTGAAATCAAGATGCTTTATGATAGTCTTCTGTAATAATGTAATTTATGAATATTTGTTAATTATCCTCTATTGATTAATTTTTTTAGAAGGCAAAGTTACCGTGAGATTACGCTACTGCGACATTGGTATGTCGAGTAAAATATGTCTCACCCAATTTTCGTTCATAATATGAAAATTAGTCACAATTGACACTTTTTCGACACAATTTGAAATGACTGTGTTTCCCATGGCATAAATGACAACTTGAATAGATAAACAATGAAGATACTCAAAAGAATATTTCAAAATAAACAAATATATATTTAATGTTGGACATTTGTCTATTATTACCACGTCATTTCTCAACCTTTCGTGTCAGAAGTATACAATGAAAGATGCGCAAAAGGCTTTTACATGGAATTATCAGGGCAAGTGTACATGCATAAGGTTCCACTAAGGGGATACAGGACACTTTATATATATTTTGTAAAGTCGGCCAGAAATAAAGTAATAAATTAAATACTTCAAGTATTAGAATGTATAGGTATGAAGCAATTGTTTATATTCTGAACGAGAGTACTTCGTGAATCTTTAACACACACCTGGCAAATCGTGAGACGTCAATTTTCTGTGAATCAAAAGAACGAAAACAATTCCAGGACCAAGACAATGTCTCTTACAAATGCATATTTTATTAGAAATAGCTGTAATGCAACGGGATCTATGAACCAAGTGACAGCAAAATAGATTGGTCCCCTGGCGCTGTTCAGGGGAATGGCAGGGTACTAGTTTGTTACAAAATAGCGACATCAGCGGTCCGAACTGTGACTGTTGTCACAAAGCCGGGTGGTCGTACCCAGAGGCGACAGTTTTTGATGGCGCAAATTTCGCTGATTATGCCTTTCCCCCCCAAATATGCTGTGTGTAGCGGAAATATGGAACGCCCAGTATAAGAACTAGAAAAATATCCCTTTTTTATCGGTAATAGTGGTGGAATGATAGGGTCTATCTCATTGGCTCTGATATCTGGCCTCTGGATATTACGTTATTGTATTCTCCAGCGTTGGCGATTTATATGTGTCTTTGACAGCATGACACCTATGCCCTTACATAATACTATGTATTACAGCAGTCATGGTACGGTAGCTAAATATAATAAATATATATAACAAATGACACCATTGACATATTATAAGATACAAGATATAATGGATGTGTTGAATGTGGAAACACAGTATCAGGTAGTTTATCATTATACATATTGTGTCATATTATGTATGGTCCCAGCCCGAGTTGTCGGTGTTCTTGTGGAAACATCTGTAGGAAATGCATTGATTTGATAAAAGAACGTCACAACTTCTTTATGTTTTCAGTGAACACGATAACACGAAGTTGATAATGGAAGCACAAAGCCAACCACAGAATACTGGCTCTGTTACTGAAACACGTGTGATCACCGTCTGTGAGAGTGAATTGCTGGAAACAGGTCGTCTCAAGAAACACTGTGTTGCTGACACGCTGGAAACAGATGATCTCCAGCAACACAAAGATCGTGGTGGTCCTTCAAAGCGATCACAGTGTGGAAAGTGTGGGGCAACATTTATTAAATCAGGTGCCATGGAAAGGCACATGCTTTGTCACAGTGAAGTCAAGCTTCATCGGTGTGATGAATGTGGGAAAGGATTTACTCAATCATGCAGCCTGAAGGCACACATGTGGATTCACAGTGGACTCAAGCCGTATCAGTGTGTTGAATGTGGGAAAACATTTACACGATCGGGTGCTTTGCAGACACACATGAGGATTCACAGTGGAATCAAGCCTTTTGAGTGCAGTGTATGTAAGAAAACATTTACATTATCAAAAACTCTGCAGAAACACATGCGGATTCACACTGGGATGAAGCCCTATCAGTGTGGTGAATGTGGGAAAACATTTACACGATCAAGTACTTTGCAGAGACACATGATGATTCACAGTGGAATCAAGCCTTTTGAGTGCAGTGTATGTGAGAAAACATTTACATTATCAGATACTCTGCAGAAACACACGAGGATTCACACTGGAATCAAGCCCTATCAGTGTGGTGAATGTGGGAAAACATTTACACAATCATACAGCCTGAAGTCACACATGAGTAGTCACAGTGAAATCAAGCCTTATCAGTGCAATGTGTGTGAAAAAACATATTCGCTGTCAAATTCTCTGCAGAAACACATGCGAATTCACACTGGAATCAAACCTTATCAGTGCAATGTATGTGAGAAAACATTTACATTATCAAAAACTCTGCAGAAACACATGAGGATTCACAGTGGAATCAAACCTTATCAGTGCAATGTATGTGAGAAAACATTTAAACTATCAGATGCCCTGCAGAGACACATGCGAGTTCACACTGGAATCAAGCCTTATCAGTGTGTTGAATGTGGGAAAGAATTTACAGAGTCAGGTAGCGTGCAGAGACACATGAGGATTCACAGTGGAATCAAGCCTTATCAGTGTGTTGAATGTGGGAAAGGATTTGCACAATCAGGTAACCTGCAGTCACACATGAGGATTCACAGTGGAATCAAGCCGTATCAGTGTGTTGAATGTGGGAAAGGATTTACACAATCATTTAACCTGCAGTCACACATGAGGATTCACAGTGGAATCAAGCTGTATCAGTGTGTTGAATGTGGGAAAGGATTTGAACAATCATGTAACCTTCAGAAACACATGAGGATTCACAGTGGAATCAAGCCCTATCAGTGTGTTGAATGTGGGAAAGGATTTACACAATCATCTAACCTGCAGTCACACATGAGGATTCACAGTGGAATCAAGCCGTATCAGTGTGTTGAATGTGGGAAAGGATTTACACAATCATCTAACCTGCAGTCACACATGAGGATTCACAGTGGAATCAAGCCGTATCAGTGTGTTGAATGTGGGAAAGGATTTACACAATCATCTAACCTGCAGAGACACATGAGGGTTCACAGTGGAATCGGTTGATTGAATTGTGTGGATTGTAATCTCATAAGTGAATGAGTGTGCATAACAACTGATAAATGATAAATCAACAGACGTGTTATCGGGTAATCCTTTAATTCATGCATGGGCTACTGACACCTAGAGATTGGTGTATTCCATCTGCTCTACATAATTACAGATATAGTGGGGTCAAGATTAGACTTTCTCCATTTATATACAAATTATTATTATTTAAAATATATATCTTCAAGAAGGTGGGTATTTGAGATTTTTATGCTAATCCATCATCAAGACACACATAATTATTATTCAAAATCTTTCATGGACACAACATGGGAAAACGTTTTGAAAGTACACCAATCTATGTTAAGTGTGTTAATTATCGGCAACCATTTGGGGCCGTTTACTAATTGGACGACGATGTCAGTTGTAGAAACCATTTACTAAAATCGAACCAGACCTTCTGGTATTTCGTTTTCCTGGTTTTATTTTCATATTGACGTTTGCCAATTTCATTGTCAATTCAGGAGATTTAAACTTTACATTTGTCAGCCTTTTGTGATAAAGTCTATAGTCAAGCCCGCGTGTGCACACTCTGAAGTTGTTTAACATATATGATATGCAATTTAATTGCCTGAAAAATGGGCCAATTCATGATTCTATTAACTGAAATTTATTCTGTGGCGTTGACTTTTTGAATGATCTGTTACTGAATCCTTCTGAATAAAATATTGTTTAAATCAATATGAATCGTTAGTAGAATGATGAACAACATGCCAGACAACATCAGCTCCCTTGTTGGTCACACTTCATAATGACACTTGTCGGTTAGAGTAACAGACGTGCATATGATCTTCTGATAGGTAGAATGATGGGCTACAGACAAGACAACTGTCTGGTTGGTCACACTGCAAAACGACACCTTGCCAGTCTGGACTGGTGGGTTGGTTGGTTTGTTGTTTAACACCGCACTCAGCAATATTGCAGCTATATGGCGGCGGTCTGTAAATAATCGAGTCTGAACCAGACAATCCAGTCATGGATATGATGAGCACTGGTCCACGCAGTAGGGATCGATGACATGCATGAACCAAGTCAGCGAGCCTGACCACCCGATCCCATCAGTCACCTCTTACGACAAGCATGTGTTGCTGAAGACGCATTCCACGCTGGATCTTCATGGGTCGCTAGTCTGGGTGACAGATTTACTTAGTTCGGGTTTTAACGTGCGCTGTCTGACATGTGTATTTCGCGCACGGGCCCGCCAGGCCATTTAATAATGTGGTGGAGAAGGTCAGGCAACCTGGAGGGGGTTTATGGTTGCTTAATCAATTTTGGCGTTATTTTGTTGTTTTTGAAATATGCCATGCTAAAAAGGTGGGTGAACTAAAGGAGTTTGTGTGGTTGTGTGTTTTTATGATTTGTGGTTTATATTTTATTGGTAGCTTGTTTGTTGTGTTTTGTTTGTTTGTTTGTTTTTTAAATGTGGTCTCGTAGGCCTGTTTTGGGTTAGATAATCTAGTTCTAAGTCTTTGCCTAGTTTTATGACATTGGTGGCGCTATTAGGTGTCTGAAGTATTAGTTTTGGACGGTGTTTGTGTCTTTGTTTTTGATAGTCTTGATAAGGGTTAAGAGTTTTTAGTGTTCTTTATATGGGGGCTGTTCCAAATTTCAACACTGAAACAATGTCATGTGCCTGCTGAGTGTGTTGAATGTGTGAACAAATTTACAGCCAGGTAGCCGGAAGCCACACATAAGGATTGCATAACTTCAGAAACCTATGATTATGGGTTCAAATCACGGTAAACATCAGATCCGGGCTAGAATAGGTCTTCAGCAATCCATGCTTGCCGTAATGGCGACTATGCTTGTCGTAAGATGCGATTTGGTGGTCAGGCTCGCTGACTTGGGTGATACATGTCTTCGATCCAAACTGCGTGGATCGATGCTCATGATGTCAATCACTGGATTGTCTTGTTCAGACTCGATTACTTACAGACCGACCTCATAAAGCTGGAATATTGCTGAGTGCGGCGTAAAACAACAAACCAACCAACAAACCATGTGTCTAAAAAAACATAATAGGACCACATTCAAATGTCCAAAGATCAGCTGTGAAATGACCGAACAACATACACATCCCCGGCAAAGAAAATAGGGCAATAGGATAAACGAAAATGTCCGTATCTGTTGTGGTCACCATGATCATTGACAACAGTTACCCATAGAGGCAATGAAATGCCGAATATCGCGTTGAGGAATGTTCTGCCAGTCTTGCTGAAGTACCACAGGCAGTGCTTGGAGTGTCTGCTTTGTTGGATTCCGTCGGGGCACACAACGATCCAAAACATCCCATACATGCTCAATCGGAGAGAAATCGGGTAAACCTGTGCAATATGAGGTCATCCGCTTTCTTGTTGAAAAGGTCCACTGTTGACGTAAATGAACGCGATGACGTGATGTTGCACGATCTCGTCTCCATGTGGTCTTCTGATAGGTAGAATGATGGGCTACAGACTACAATATTAGCTGTCTCATTGGTCCCACTGCAACACATGACACATTGCCAGTCCGAGTGACAGACGTACATGTGGCCTTCTGATAAGTCTAATGATGAGTTTGATGCAATCGTCCAAACGTCCAAAGATACTGCTGGTAAAACAATGTAGAAAGTTTATTGCTGTACGATGTGATGATGAATATTATCATTGTTTGTCAATGTTTTAATAGAACTGTGATATAAAGTATATGTTGGCTGTTGTTTATATCATTTTTGTGGGGAAATGTCCTATATACCACGAAGTGGTCATAACATTGACATTGGACAAAGGGGAATATATTTGTTTATCAATGTTTATGTTTGAGAGAGAATCTATCGGTGTTACCTATGTTATGAGGAACATAACGGTATGTTCCTACTACTTCATCAGGTGAATCACTGCTTGGATGCAGAATGCTCTGAACCGCAAAAGAAACGTCACCCGAATTAACATTTAACATTAACATTAACAAAGTTGTCATTTAAATATCTGGGTAATTTTTGTCTCTTTTTGTTTCTAAAATTTAACATTACCTTGTCCGGAAAAATTAAATTTGATGATAAAAACATAAACAGATGACAACAAAACCGATCGCCCAAACGCATCACGGCAACGGCCATGGTAACCCGACGCGCGTGAGTTCCGTGCAAATTGAATGCACATGTGTTCCCCCATTTCTTGCCTTATAAAAATCCACCCAGATCAGATAACATTCATTCGTTATTTAATTGCGACCACATATCAACACTACAGATGACAGACCACATAGTGGAAGACCAAGGGTCACCACCCGACGTCAGCATCGTCAGATTGCGCGACAGCATCTTCAAGATCGCTTTGTTACTGCTGCGGAAACTGCTCGACAGACCATGGGGACACACCAGCGACACATTAGTGGGACACAGCATAGACTTCCCCACCAAGCATAGAAAATGATTAAAACTCTTGATGATAATGGTAAAAATACTTGGGCCTCATCTACAAGAAATATTTTATTTAGAATATGGTTTTGAATCTTTGTACCTGGTATGTCTGTCTCAAGACATTGACTGCATCTCATCATTTATGGAGAGTAGGGGCCGTGGGGTAGCCTAGTGGTTAAAGTGTTCGTATATCACGCCAAAGTCCCAGGCTTGATTCCGGACATGGGTACAATGTGCGAAGCCCATTTCTGGCGTGTCCGCTGTGATATTGCTGGAATATTGCTACATCTAAATGCAATTATTATATATAGTTATACCAAGGAATGTTTGTGATCTATAACTTAAAAAAACCACGGATGGTTGTCATCCACACAATCAACGCCCATTTGTTATCAAATGTTTTCTCTGTTATCATTTCTTAATATTATCTACATATCTTTTATGGTTTTAACATTATCCACATTTTACAAGTTGTCCTTTGTGGTTGAGTATAATTATATAACCTGTATTACCACTCACTCACTCACTCACATCACGTGACTATAACCTGTATATACTTCCCGTCCCTGTGGGTGCTTTTATGCAAGCTTAATGTCTCTTTAGGGATGTTTAGATTAGATGACAGAAAGTTCATGCGTCTTCTGCTATTGAACGAAAGTTCTATTTATTTCAAAGTCTTCTGAACGATTGTAACTGAATACCGAAGCGTATTAGCTCTAAAACCTAAGATGGCAAATAATTGGCATGCACCAAACTCCCTTGTTAATCATAATGATTAATCATACTGTAATCGGTCGACTCATCAAAAAACGGGGGCACGGGTGGCCCTGTCGTCTAGGGCACCGCGATTCACTGTGCAGAGTTGCGTCCCTTGGACACGCCAGAAACCTATGATTGTGGGTTCCAATCCCGGCTCGCCCCGATTATGTTTCTAGGTTTGTCAGCACCATACCCGTGCTCGTGGGTTTCACCGAAGTGGTAAACGTCTGAGACCTGCATCACTTCGGGCTTTCCTCCCACATTAAGCTGACACACAGTGATATGACTTGAATACTGTTTAAAGCGGCGTTAAACCCAACTCACTCATCAGAAAACCCATATTGACTGGACATGTGAGTTACTTGCCAAGATCAGGACGTCCATTGAAGACCAGTACCAGAGAGGGCAGGGTCCTTGTACGCCAGGCAAAACGGCTGCCAACTTCACCTAGCACTGTTGTTCATCATCACCGGCATACCAACAACAGAGTGCCCTTTTGCACCATCGGCCTCGACTAAATGCAGCAGGATTAAGGGCAAATAAATCATCCACATCCTCTCACAATATCACATGCTGGACCGTTTAGCGGTTTACCAAGATACCACTTTGGAAGGTTTTGGTGTGACTCATTTTGAGAACCATGCATTTACCACACGTCCTGTCTTTATGGACGACAATGCCCGACCCCACCGAGCACGAGTTGTGAATGACCATCTCCAGAACAACTCTGCCTGTGCCTTCTCGAAGCCCAGGCCTGGGCCCACTTGCATAAAGCGATCTCAGCGCTACGACTATTGTAGGCCTATGTTAAAGTATGGGAGTTACGATCATCCAATCCAGCAATTATGGGATCGGGTGGGACGTAGAGTTGGAGCCAGAGACCCCCAGTATAAAATCTCCAAGAACTGACTCGGGCATCGCTTGAGGAATGACAACACATCTCTCAGTTGAGGATCAGATGTCTGATTTTGACCATGAGGAGACCTGATGATGTGATCCGTGTACAGGGTGACAACACCAGACATTGACTGACACTATTGATCATTTGACTGTCTGTGACGAAAATCGGACCGGACTTTCTGGCATTGCTTTTTCGTGAATTTATTTTCATTTCGATATTTGCTTTTTTTATTGTCGATTTGACAGGTCAAGGCTTCATATTTGCAGCCTCATGTGATAACTGGCTATATTCAAGCTATATTCCCACTCTGGAGTAAATGGTGTATCGTCAATACTGATGGGCTTGTATACACTACAATGGAGGAACGTAATACAGACCCATTAAGAATTGACAATTATATCACAGACATCCACAGGTGTATGGTTACTAGTATACCATGAAGCAAGGGTGTAGTTATTGTTGTTTAAAGTTTATGTTATACAATTTAGCTGCTGAAAAATAAGGACCATTTTGGGTTTTGATTACAAGAACTGAACTATATTCTGTATGTAGACGTTAATTCCGGTATACAATTTAAACGGTACTAGCATGAATTGTTCAACTCACAAGTCAGGAATGTCCACAGTGGTCCACAAAGAACTTGGTCAGTTTACTTTTATCCAACAGGCTCGGCAACTTTAACTGACTCGTTGGTCACACTTCAATATGAGACCTTGTCAGTCAGAGTGGCATGCGTGCATACATGGGTTTTCAGAAGATGATACAATAGTCATTACCCTTAGCAAATAACGACCGCCTCCGTGGTCCAGTGGTAGAGCGTCCGCCCAGAGAGCGGGTGGTCAGGGGTTCGATCCCCAAAAGACGTTAACAGATGGTACTTGTTAACCTGCTTGGCGCTCGGCTTTAAAGGGCTAAAAACCCACGCTTGCTGTAAAAAGCGACTCTGTTTGTCGTAAGAGGCGACTAACGGGATCAGGTGGTCAGGCTCGCTGACTTGGTTGATGCATGTCATTGATCCCAGTTGCGCGCGCGTGTGTGTGTGTGTGTGTGCGTGCTTGCGTGCGTGCGTGCGTGTGTGTGTGTGTGTGTGTCTGCTTGTACTCGTCCGGACTAATTCCGATTTCATAGCGCTAACCCACTGAGATACCATACCGCAGTTTAACATAAATACCCCACTCAGATCCCACTCACACTCACACTCCGAGCCGGCCATTCCTTGTTTTAGCCCCTGCAGGGAACAACAAATACCATCTTTCAACGTCTTTTGGTATGACGCAGCCGGGTATCGAACCTCCGACCTTCCGCTCTCCTTGACTACGGAGGCGGTCGGAAGAATATAAACATATACACGCAGCTTAGAGTAAGTGTAATTTTATTCATTTCATATCACAAAGGAAAACGCTTAAACAGTGTTGATATAAGTTTCTATATCCATCAGAGCAACACATAAGTGGTGGGAAATAACAACTTTCTCAAACCTCCCCTCGCATGACGCCGTGCAATAAGATATATTGTTACACCTCTATTAAGAATCTTACATTTCCATATCACGTGATGAAACAATACATTTCAATGTAGACCCACTAACATGTGACTGACACTGACCTCGAGTATTGACTTGTCATTGCATTAAGATACACCTTTATTTGTTTTTAATTTGAGAAAGTTACATGGGGATGAATAAGAATCAGAACGATGTAAACAACTCTTAAAAGAAACTTTATCTTGTCTCACATATGTATATTGATACGGGTACATACGAAATATATAAATAATCATGAAAATATTTTTAAAAACATTCCTCACTGCAAATTATTATACAAAACACGTTTTTTTATTCGGACGCAAAACGCTGTGTCCTTGACTGGTTTACCTGTCCTAGAGCGCAAGCGCTCCTCGCCTGCAGTCGCAAGGGACGAAGGGCAGGGGACCAGTCAGCTCTATCTGACCTATTTCCCCACACAGCATTTCGCTGCACTGAAACGTTGACCTATTTCCGTGTGGCAAAATACAACAAATAATAACTTCCTTATGTAACAATGTCCTTTATAAAGTAAAACCAGCACAAGGAAATCCCAGCCCATCATAAATCAAATATAGGGGTACAGCAAGGTTGTATTCTATCCCCAACATTGTTAAATCTATTTATTAAAAGATTTTGAATATTAGTTTGTTAAAGAAAAACATGGCCTCACTCTTGGTGGTTTCAAGTTGAGGAGTGAGGTCATGTGTCATCTACTGTTTGCTGATGATATGGTTCTTCTATCCGATTCGCCGGCCTAACTTCAGGAGCTTCTCAATAATCCCTAAAAATACTGCACTGACAATAAACTAACTATCAACATCGAAAAAAAATAATGTAGTTATACTTGTCAATAAAACTGACAATCCAATATTCAAATGGTAAGTAGCTGGACAAGATATTAATGTTCCAGACAGATACAATTACTTAGGTGTTGTATTTCATCAAAATTATAAATTTAAACAATGTGTAGAATTTCCAAAGAGCATATACTATGTGCTCTCTTCTAACCTGTTTGGATTTAGACGCAAATGTCTGGTGCAAAATGTTCAAGGCAATTGTTGAACCTGCTGTCCTATATAACTGTAAGGTATATATTTACGGAGTTCTGCTCAGGTATATGGATATATTTTTACAAACAAAATTTGGAAACGTGTTTTCGGAGTCTCTCAATAAACACATAACTGGGCATGCAGGGCAGAGCTTGGTTTGTTTCCCCTTTTTGTTTAGGATAATTAAATCGATTGTTCAATTCTACAAACATATTTGACAATCTCCCAATACTGTCTTAAAACATGCTTTCAATGAATCAATAACTAAGGCCAAACATAAAATTGGATGGTACTATAAATTTGACGACGCGCATGGGGAGCCGGGAACCAGCTTAAGGGCAGGGTAAGCTGGTTCCCGGCTTCCTTTGCGCATCGTCAACTTGGCTCTTATATTGTGATAGAGACGGGGCCCAGCTTCAGGATAGGGTACAGGTTAGACTGGTTCCCGGATCCTCCACTTGGTGTCGCTGCTCTTGCTCCGATTTCCAATGAAGCTGTCGCAGGAACGAACAGGAACCAGTCTAGGTACTGGTCCATTCTGAACATAGCTCCCCTAGCGGAGACTTCGGTCGTTACATGCAGCCCGCAAAGCAGGGAGGGCGAGCGCTAAAGTTGACTCTCAAATGTAAGTAACTGCAACTGAATGAACAGATCATTAACAGATTTAACAGTAAATGACTGAGAAGGGAGATAATTTCATAACGTCTGCTTATGGACTGGTCTCGTTTGTTTAGTGATTCCTAGCTATTTATCCATGAACTTGAACAGCCTGCAACCTCGGGGAATCGCGGTACTTGTCATGTACGCTGAACGGAACAAAATGCACTCACTAACCTTTATGATTATTCGTGTTCTCTATATCAGATGTCATTTATTTGATCTAACAATGCATATTTTACTGATAAAAGTTCATAATTACATTAGTTGCGCCGAGTAAAAGCCGGGCCTCGCGCTCAGTTTGACAAGGGAGAGAACTCCATCGTATCGCCGTACAGGGAAAAGTTGTGTTTGGAGGTCCGATTTGACAAAAACAGGACATAATTCTACCTACCACTTAGTGTGATGATGCCAGAATTTAGTGATTTGTCCTGTCAAGTTCATAGACAGCACAAGTAAAATTCTAAATATGTTATCAGTAATAGGTATTCAATGCATAGGTGTTCAAATGCAAAAATATTTAAGAAATCAACACCTAATTGCACAAAAACAGGACATAATTCTACCTACCACTTAGTATGATGATGCCAGAATTCAGTGATTTGTCCTGACAAGTTCATAGACAGCACAAGTAAAATTCTAAATATGTTATCAGTAATAGGTATTCAATGCATAGGTGTTCAAATGCAAAAATATTTAAGAAATCAACACCTAATTGCACAAAAACAGGACATAATTCTACCTACCACTTAGCATGCTTAGTATGATGATGCCAGAATTCAGTGATTTGTCCTGACAAGTTCATAGACAGCACAAGTAAAATTCTAAATATGTTATCAGTAATAGGTATTCGATGCATAGGTGTGCAATGCAAAAATATTTAAGAAATAAAAAAAAAATAAAAATAAATGATATTTTAAGATTGTTTTTAAAAGAAATCTGATGATAATAATTTGAAATTGTTTATGAAGCGAGCATTTCCTGATTACTGATTTGCATTAATAGACAGCTGCTAAGAGGCAAGTCTACCATAAACTGCGGGAAATCACAAATGCCGTGGTACCACGGGGTCCGACTATACCCTGTCATTTTCATACCATGTGCTTTGAAATTCTCCACATCATCAATACAGCTCTGCATCAGCGTTTTCATGCGGTACAACTTCCCACAAGCTCATTAAAATCAGGACCCTTGAAGATCTAGGGTATAATAGATCTTTAGCAACCCATGCTTGCCCTAAAAGACGACTTTGCTTGTTGTAAAAGGCGACTAACGGGATCGGGTGGTCAGGCTCGCTGACTTGGTTGATGCATGTCATCGATCTCAATTGCGTGGGTCGATGCTCATGATACTAATCACTGGATCGTCTAGTCCAGACGTGATTATTTACAGACCGCCGTCATATAGCTGGAATAATGCTGAGTGCGGCGTTAAACAACAAACCACCCAACCAACATTAAAATCAGCTTTTAGTTATTGCTACCGCGAAACAAAGATCTGAGGACATCCCATTACAGGTCAAGTCAGGACGACCTTTCACAAACTTTTTCAGACCAATGAAGACAAATGATGATTCCAAATTTGAAAACTTAAAATGAAAATTCTGGAATGTCTAACAGATGGCCGAGATTGTATGGCATTACTTCCCAAGGTCTATCAAAGTCTCTTCAGTTTCAAATGGTTATCTCCGTGAAGCAAGAGATAGACAATGATTTTGACAGAATCAGTCGTACAGCCTTTCTTCCGGGGAAAACCCTGTGATGCATGAATAGGAACACATTCCGACTGTCACTTTCCTGATCTTGAAAGCAATACTCTGAGTGGTTTGATGAAAGGTCATTCTTACATGACCCGTAATGTGATGTCCTCAAATCTTTGGGGCGGTCGGGTAGCCTAGTGGTTAAAGTGTTCGCCCGTCACGCCGAAGACCCGGGTTCGATTCCCGACATGGGTACAATGTGTGAAGCCCATTTCTGGTGTCCCCCGCCTTGATATTGAATATTGCTTAAAGCGGCCTAAAATCATACTCACTCGTTCACTCCTCAAATCTGTTTGATTTTAATGAGTTTGAGCTTCCCACATGGTGTGTTTTATCACAATCCCACAATTTTCTGTCCTGGTCTACCGGAAAGTCGTCGTCACCAGGTCTGGAAATTTCAGTGCCACATGCAAGTTACTGGTTATTTGTCATATCGACCGCTACATTCTTTGTGTGATTATGATATGCCATAGGCTTGGAACACAATCATCATGTAACCAATTTGTATATCTACAAAATACAGCAGACCAATTAAGATCCGGGATAGAATAGGTCTTCAGTAACCCATGCTCTCCGTAAAAGGCGACTAACGGGATCGGGTAGTCAGGCTCGCTGACTTCGTTGATGAATGTCATCGTATCCCAGTTATATGGATCGATGCTCATGATGTCAATCACTGGATTGTCTGGTCCAGACTCGATTATTTACAGAACGCCATCATATAGCTGGAATATTGCTGAGTGCGGCATTAAACAACAAACAAACAAACATACTATAAAGCATACACCTAGACAAAAAGTAGAGATACCATCAAAGTGATCCAGATAAACCAATCACACATTACCTTGCAGGTGAATCAGGTCACCAGCTTCGAGGACGATCAAATTTATGAAACGGGAGAAGTTTTAACACAAGAAATAACATGGGACATGAGTGCAGGACACTTTCCATTTTGTACTTTTATCCAACAGTGATTCCAGAATATTTTAACAGAAGATGTGCATGAAAGGTTTCTAATTTTCCTAATATTGCCACCATTTGGAGAATACACTATGGGTTACCTCCCTTGCCTTGTTATTACAAGGTATACAGTGCTTTGAGTGTGATAATGACATACCTTGTAATTTGAAGGCATCACTGAAATCTCAAGGTTACACAAAAACTAAGTTCTAATTTATTTCCCCTTGTGTGCTGATGTAATGGAGATTCAGAGACATTACAATGAATTCTGTGCTATCTGATATGTCATTATTTAATGTAATGAAGATTTTCCCACTCCTCAGTTGATAATATGTTTCCTTCTTTTTCATCAACTATCTTCACAGTGAATTCTGACCACCTGTGTGGTCTGGTGGTAGAGCGTCCGTCCGGAGGGTGGAAGTTCTGGGGTTCGATCCCCGGCCGCGTCATACCAAAAGAAGTTAAAAGATGGTACTTGTTGTTACTCTGTCTGGCACTCAGCATTAAGGGGTTAAAACAAGGACTGGTCGGCTCGGAGTCGGTATACTGTGTCTAGGTTGGGTATTCATGTTAAACTGCGGCATGGTATCTCAGTGGGCTAGCACTATAAATCGGCATAAGGCCAGACTAGTACAGGCAGCCACACACACACGTGCATGCACGTCGCTATAGAAGTACAATAATCTTGGACGCGACGTTAAACCCAATTTCACCTTCACCTCAATGAATTCCCTGATGAGCCTCCAGTATTCCTGGGGGTTTCTGGACGAAAAGATGCAAGTTTGCTGAATAATTTCTCAGTATTTTTTTCTCTGTCCATTTTTTATAATTTTTAAGGGCATTATAGAATTTGTATTGTCTATTTCTATCAAATGGGTCCTTTGCTAGGCCCTGCTTTATAGCTTGAATATTGCTGAGTGTGGCGTTAAGCAACAATCAAACAAACAAAGCCTATAGTCGAATACTGTTGAGGTTGGCTGTTGCATTATCAATGCTACTTTGGGTGTTCCCACACAGTTATGATGAAAATGTTTTGTAGTATTTTGGAGTTTGCAGAAAGCAGATTATTATGAAATGTCATCTTTGAATCATCTTTCCATATGAGCTGAAAAATCTTAAACTGTGTCTTCCTTGTTTTAGAGCTGCTCTTAGTCCTTGATTTAATGACAGTGACAGATGTGCATAGAGAGAACACTGGTCTGACAAGTGTAAGTGGATGTACTTTCAGACTTTAAGAGGAACCCAAATCCTCACACTTGGTAATGATGTAGGCGGCAGTGCTAGAATCATAATATTGGTATGATGAATAGTTTCCAAACAAGTCAACCAGTCATCATTCTGCCATTTAGCATGTTTAGGATGCAAGTGTTAGTATTCTGACAGGTTTGAATGAGGTCATGTGTAAATTAGTTGGTCACAGGGCCTGTGTTTTTTCTGATAATGGGGAGGGTATCCTGGGTAGAGGAGAATTGCCACTGTTTCGCTCTGATGTAATCTGATCACCCAAGGTTCCTGTTCTTGCATAAAAGTCTCTGCCTGCTATTAATTTTCATATTTGTCCATAACAAGCTAGATGTGGTTGAAGTATAGCAAAGGGGTCCTGAGATTTCACTGTCCTTATGCTCAAGTTTATTTAGAGATTATTATATGATTATAAGCATGTGTGTCACACTGACTTAACACAAGTGTTTCCCAATGGGTGAGTGAGGTTAGTACATGAATTCTTGCAAGAGTTTTGTAAAATCAGTATGACACACATGTGTCACACATGAGCCGTCTCGCGTACACGTTACGTCCTCTACTGGTCATGTAGAGCTACCAAGTTTCTTCCATTCTGGGTGTGGGGTTTCTAAAAAAATACCCAATTCATTGACATCTTCAGTATTCAGAATTGTCTTATTGCAACGATAGACCATTAACAATGTTATGATGTTATTATAATGACATCACTATGTGTTATATCTCTCCCCGTCGACATCGTTGTCAGAAAATAATTTGAAAATCATTGACCACAGAATCCATTACAAGTTTGGATTTAGGCTTCCAAATTTGACCCCGACTGCGTCATACCCAACATGCCCAAAACACATTAAAAGATGGTACTTGTTGTTACTCTGTCTGGCGCTCGGCATTTATAGGCTAAAACAAGGACTGGTTGGCTCGGAGTCAGTATACTGTGTCTGAGTGGGGTATTCATGTTAAACTTCGGCATGGTATCTCAGTGTGCTAGCACTATAAATCGGCATCAGTCCGGACTAGTACAAGCAGCTACACACACACATACACGTGCATGCATGTCACTATATTATAACAGTAAACAGGTTAAGGTAAATAATAGATAAGTGGGTAATTTCTTGCTAATTTGGTAGGAATTTGATTCTATCCCGCAGTTTTCTCAAATGGTAGTTTTCTGAATTTTGCATATTTTCTTTGATGTGTGCAATGCCGTATTCAGCAATGATGGATAAAATTACAAATATTATGGATGTCAGGATGTAAATAAGTTCAGATTTTGCGTATGAGCAGATGTTTTCAACTATTGGTAGTGTTTTTCCAAGTAAATAAATTGTGAGTTAGACCACACCCTCACATGTCATCTACGCTTGTCAGCAGTTTGTCTATTTTTGAAAGTTTATGAAACGAAATCCTCTAGGATTATACATCTTTGTAAGTATGCCCCAAAAATGAAGTTAGATATAATTACAGGATTGTTATAGTAGTGCAGGATCACAATGTACAGTTGTTGGAGATTGTGTCCGGTTCAACCAATCGATGATGTAATCTTTCATATAGTTTTTGTTTATAATTGTTTGAAATAAAAATTGCTATTTCTTAGAAATGAAGAAACTAGAGTGTTTTCTGTTCATCAAGAACAAAGATGATCAAATGAAAAATAGTATCATATAAAGAAAATATCTGACTATGTGTCCCATGACATCAAGTGCCTTCGAGTCAACAATGGCAGTTATGGTTGTGTGCCGACAACTTTGACAAATACTTTTTTATCTTGAGGGATTTTCTTTTTGAGGTACATAACCACTTAAAGTTTTGATATTTAGAAAACTGAGCATATATTATTTATATGACACGTAAAGCCTACTTGGCAAACAGTTATTGCTTGTATTGTTTGTGGGTGTGGTTATGCTATTCGCCTTTGAACCCATTGGACAATAGCATTCAGAGCCTTAAATAAGACACATTAGTTTGAGGAGTGACGTCCCTTAAGAGTAATTGAACACTTGCCCTTTGCGGTCCACAGAAAAAAATAATTTTTGTGAGTAACCAAAGGGATCATGATACATATCCTATCATCATTAAATTATGTATGGAACCAACCCCAGCTGTTTTCTTCTGGAAACATCTTCAGGAAATGCATAAACGCAAAAAAGGAAAATGACAACTCATTTATGTTTTCAGTGAACATTATAACATCCACAAGTTAATAATGGAAGTACAAAGCCAACAACAGAATCCTGGCTCTGTTACTGAAACATGTGTAGTCAGGGACTGTGGGAGTGACTTGCTGGACAAAAGTGACACCGAGAAAGAATCTGCCATTGACACACTGGAAACAGGTGATCTCAAGGAACAATCTGCCATTGATACACTTGAAACAGGTGATCTCATGCAACAATCTGCCATTGATACACTGGAAACAGGTGATCTCATGCAACAATCTGCCATTGACACACTGGAAACAGGTGATCTCAATAAACGATCTGCCATTGACACACTGGAAACAGGTGATCTCAATAAACGATCTGCCATTGACACACTGGAAACAGGTGATCTCAAGGAACAAAAGGCAAAGCAGTTTCAAAGGTGTAGTGAGCGTGGGAAAACTTTAACACAACCAAGTAATCTGAAGACACACATGAGTATTCAAAGTGGAATCAAGCCTTACCAGTGTGGTGAATGCGGGAAAGGATATACATACTCAGGTAGCCTGAAGTCACACATGAAGAGTCACAGTGGAGTCAAGCCTTATCAGTGTGTTCAATGTGAGGAAACGTTTACACAATCGGGTAATCTGCAGAAACACATGAGGATTCACAGTGAAATCAAGCCTTATGAGTGTGGTGAATGTGAGAAAACGTTTACACAATCAGGTAATCTGCAGAAGCACATGAGGATTCACAGTAAAATCAAGCCCTATGAGTGTGGTGAATGTGAGGAAACGTTTACACAATCAGGTAATCTGCAGGAGCACATGAGGATTCACAGTGAAATCAAACCTTATGAGTGTGGTGAATGTGAAAAAAGATTTACACTACCAAGTAACTTGAAGACACACATGAGGATTCACAGTGGAGAGAAGCCTTATCAGTGTATGGAATGTGAGAAAAGATTTACACTATCAAGCAACCTGCAGGGACACATGAAGATTCATACCGGATCCAAGCCCTATCAGTGTGGTGATTGTGGGAAAACATTTTCATTCCCAGGTAACCTAAAGAGACACAAAAGGATTCACAGTGGAATCAAGCCTTATCAGTGTGTTGAATGTGGGAAAGAATTTTCAGATTCAGGCAGTCTGAAGGCACACATAAGGATTCACACTGGAATCAAGCCTTATCAGTGTGTTGAATGTGGGAAAGGATTTACACAGTCGGGTAGCCTGAACACACACATGAGGCTTCACAGTGGAATCAAGCCTTATCAGTGTGTTGAATGTGGGAAAGGATTTACGCTGTCAAGTTACCTGAAGAAACACATGAGGATTCACATGAGGTTTCATAGTGGAATCAAACCATATCAGTGTGGTGAATGTAAGAAACAGTTTACAGATTCAGCTAACCTGCAGACACACATGACTATTCACAGTGGAGGGGCGGTCGGGTAGCCTGGTGGTTAAAGTGTTCAATTCCCGCCATGGGTACAATGTGTGAAGCCCATTTCTGGTGTCCCCCCGCCGTGATATTGCTGGAATATTGCTAAAAGCGTTGTAAAACCATACTCACTCACTCATTCACAGTGGACTAGCCTCATCAGTGTTCTGAATATGGAAAACAATTTACACAATCATCTAACCTGCAGACACACACGAGGAGTCACTGTGGAACCAATTGAATAAATTGAGTTTTAGTGTATTGTATACATTACAACTGTTAAATGATAGATCAATCACTTGTTATTAGTTAATCTTTTAATCATGTTAATCCCTGCTTTGGCTTTTGACACCATTGGTGGGGTCCATCTGCTCCAGATGAGACTCCCTGCATATAAACTGATGGCCAAAAGAATCTCTACCATAGTTTTAAATCACTCTAAAAACCCACAAAAGTTGAATGCATGAAGTAAAAAGTATTGAAGAGATCAAATTCTCAACATTTAATATGACGGTTATACAGCAATCGATATTGGCATGACAGTTACCTGAATTGAGGTTGGGTAGCATTATACAAGCATTCAATGCAATGGAAAAAGGGCACACACTTCTTAAAGTGCTGGAGTACATCACAGTGTACATGACTACCTCCTGCTTTAAAACATGCAAAAACTCTGGACAACAGAAAAGGCCTTTCATCTGATGTCATGTGGGTAAAAGTCGCCATTTTCCTGAGACGACCTGTATCAGTTCTCACTGGTCGCCTTCAGGATGTGGTCACTGTCAAACACGACAGTCCATAACATAACAGAGGTGTTCTAAGGGGGGACATGCCTGGGAAGTGTGCATGCCACGGCAATTCCCTGATGTTGTTGGCTGCAAACAATTTTTGTACTATTCTGGCTGTTTTTGGTCTGGCATTGTCAAGCTGATAAAGGACACCACATGAGAGTTTTTGTAGAAGTGGTAGGACTACAGGACAAAGAATGTCATCCTTGTAAAGTAGAGATGTCTAATTTCTGACGACGATGACCAGTGGTGTACTCTCCTGCTGACAAGTTCTTCCCTGCACCATAACATCCCCCTACACCTTTCGGCATGACTTGAACGCAACATGCCACTGTTCGTTCTCCCCTTCAGAAACCCTGCCTTCCTTCAGCTGTGAACAGACAGAACTGACTTTCATCAGTGAAGACCCTCAGCCAGTCCGGCCTCATCTCAATCTCGACGACGATGTTGTGCAGTCAATGGCTGTCCACTGTAAGGTCTGTAAGACATAATTCCTTGAGCCCAGAGTCGCCTGCCTGCCTAATAACCATATGTCCTAAAGCATTCGTCGCTGATGACGTCACAGTCAGGAATTGATTCTGGAGGTGCAACGTATGCAAGTACCGGTTTTCATTGGGCGTAGTTACCCTGAGTCTGCTGCTCTTGGCCTGTCTGATGTCTGCTTGGTCTGTCTTTACCATTGCATCAGGTTAGTCGAAGTAACATGGGAGCAACCAAAAGTTCCATCAATGTGGGCATGGCTGTCCCCCATCATACCAAGGTCCTGCTGGCATTGTTCATGTTGTTTGGGTGTCAGTCGTGGCATTTTTGTAATATTTTTTTTATCAGCATGAGTGTCTGACATGTAATTTCAGCTCCCTGAGTGTCACGTTTTTCACTCTTTCGCATTTTCTACAAATTAATGTGTCATAGATAATTGTTGTGTTTGGGCGATGTGTTGTCCATTGATTTAGTTTGAACTAAAGTTTGATTTAAAGTCATGGTTTTTGCAATTACATTTTTGAAGTGGTAAAAATTCTTTTGGCCATCAGTATATGTACAAATTATAATTATTTAGAGTATACAGAGTGACTCATCTGGTGCTGTTATTGGATGATTTTTTGTAAGATTTTTGTTTTTAAATCATCTTGTGATTAAAACTGACCATGTATTTCTATATTTAGTGCTGTCTTTTTTAACATTAGGACTCATGCTAAATGTGATCACAGATACTTTCAAACAAGTGACATTTAGTGCAGAACTCAGAGTGGTGTGTCTTGCTTCCTGTGCTTGGAAAAAGAAGTGACTAAGCTTGTCATTGTCTTTGTTTTTGTTGCTGCTTTGCGGTCAGACTGTGCACACATGTACATATAATATAATAGCTGTTGAATACTTAGATACCTTTAAAAAAACATGATCTAAGTACAAAAGGCAATAAACCATTTATTCCTTTTAAGGAAATTGGCAACACCAGAAGCGCTTGTTAAATCTCCAACATCATCATCATCATCATTTAAGGAAGTGTATGGGGTGGTCGGGTAGCCTAGTGGTTAAGGCGTTCGCTCGTCAGGCCGAAAACCCAGGTTTGATTCCCGACATGGGTACAATGTGTGAAGCCCATTTCTGGTGCCCCCTGCCGTGATATTGCTGGACTTAAGGAAGTGGAACCGTTCTTTTTGTGAATGTCAAATTTACTCCTAAACACCCAGTAATCTAAGCATGCTGAGAACAGCATTGAAATTTTTGCACACCTTGAACATTGAAATCTGGTTTTGTGCCCGGATCTGGTTACATGGGCAAAATGTAATCAGTGACACACACCCCAATTTCAGCAGCGATATGTGCCTTAATATTTCGTGTCATTTTGCTTTTGTCGCTGATAAGGCCCCATTTTTATTGCTTATTTGCTAGATTTATATTGTTATCTGAGGGGTCTGTCATTTTTTCTGATATTTAGCCTCTGGATTCCATTTATTTTGCATTTGTTTTAGTATGACATGATAAAATTGATCATAAATAGAGTAAAGATTTGAGGACATAATTGATTTATTTCAGTCATGTGTTTTTGTATGAGTGTGCTTGTAAAAATGTCAGAGATAAATGGCATTATAAAAATACAGAAGAATATGATTCTTGTGAAACCTCTACCTCTATTATATCTTTGCCCTAAATCCTGTATTTCGGCTTCAGTCACACTGACTTAAATTTTCAGATTCAGACAACCTCTTCACTGTCAATAACACAGTTAGTTGTTCCCAAATAGCACTGTAACCGCCCAAGCTATGGCGTGAATCTCAGTGTTTTCCTGTCAACACCTATTGTTATAGTTGTAACGATCTAGCACTTGGTATTAGTCACATTAATCTAAGATTATTCTAATAGTTTTTTATAAAACAGACAGTAAGTAAATAGTTATAGCTGCTAACTGGAGTGATGATCGTATGCACGTGAGCATGGTGAGTAGAAGCTGATGTGTGGTGTGTTTGCGAGGTCGTAATGGAGTCTCATTCTACTCCCGGTTGCAAGAAGTGTGGTCGGTTTATGATCACGGAAAATCCTCATGGTAACTGCTGGAGGTGCAGAGAAACAATATGCACAGAGGAGGCAAGATGTGAAGTTAACCTTCTTAAAGTTAGCTGAGGCTGTAACTAAGGCTAAGAGGCGTGAAGCGGCCAAGAGAAAAGTTGAAGTCATCACGGCAACCAACACTGATCAGGCCTCTGATTCTACCCTAAAACCTTTTACTCCTACTCCAGCAAAACAGTCATCTCCCTGCACTCTCCATGAGTCTGATACAACAACTATTCAAGCAACAGCAGGAGATGATAAAGGCAATGTTTGATCACCATCAAATGACGGTACCCAATCTGCCGCATGGACCACACGGGTGTCATTGAGATTTCCCTCTACCACTATCAAACGGGTCCTCTGTCTTGCTGTAATCCCACCCCATACCATAATGCTACCGCCCCCGAACCGATCTTTTTCCATGACACAATGATTGACGTAATGTTCACCTCGACGTCGGTACACTTGAATCCGAGACTCGTCATTGAATAGAACGTGTCCCCACTGCATGGCAGTCCAGCATAGACGCTGTCTGCACCACTGTAAACCTCCTTGATGGTGGTTTCCTGTCAAAATGAGACGTCTGGCGGGTCTTCTGGCAACAATCCCTGCACATCTGAGGCGTTGATGTACGGTTTGTGAAGATATTCGTCGAGGGCCAGGGATGCAGTCACTGTTGCTGGCTGGAATCGATTTCGTAGGTGTGTTGTTTGAATGCAGTTGTCTTGTCGATTATTGGTTACGCGTAGCCTGCCACTCCGAGGATGGTCACTGACTGCATTCGTCTGTTGCCAGCGTTGCCATAAACACCAAATGGTGTTTCTGTGGACGTTAAATTGTCTTGCAACATCATGTTGACTCGATCCTGCTTCAAGCATACCAATGGCTTGCATACGCTCATTGTTGGACAGGCGTAGCATTTCGTAATGTTGAATAATTGCGTAATTTTGTTGTTTTTCTGAGTGGTTGTTGTCAGCACGATGCTAAACAATGCATATGGAATCCCGTTAACGCACATGTTTTATACCCATTCTTGGGTAGTGAAATGCATGGGGCTTGCATAAAAGTCAACTTTTGCATGGAATGCATGCTTTTCTGTAGCAGTTGCATTTTTGTGACTTGATCCCATACATGTACTACAATATTGAAAACCAAACTTTACTTGTTTGAAAAATACACTAAAATATTGGTGTCACAGGAACTTTTGTTGTTGAGTATATAACAGTAACTCTGATGAAGGTATCACATATTTGACCGATTCTTGATACGTTCTGATTTTCAAGTCCTCACATCTCGAGTCAGGATTAGAATCAGTGAATAATGGTTTCCAGAAGAGATCAATGTCAATTTCACAGGGAGTTACTATAGGCAGAACCCAACAGGTCCCTCTGGTATATGCTGGCAAAGATGTAATAGAGGTAGAGGATTCGCAAGAATTATCGAACAATATAAGAATACTACATCTATTACATCAGGAGCACTCCCACCTACCTCCCCAATTCATCTACCTCTAGTAGTTAGATGTGGGGAAAAAAAGTGAGATTCCTGCCATTGCACACGCCTTAGCTTGGGTGGTTACAGTGCTATTTGCATGATTTGGGAACAACTAATTGTGTGATTGACAGTGAAGAGGACGCCTGTTGAAAATCTGAAAATTTTATAATTGTGACTGAAGCCAAAATACAGGATTTATGGCAAAGATTTAACAGAGGTAGTATTCTTGAAATTATTAACAATGATAACTATTGTTCAATATTTATTATTTTTACATATTTTTTGCACCGTGGTATATATCATTTGTTGATAACTTTCCAACACATCCAGCGATTTATTCACAAAGCGAAACACATGTGAAAGTTTAAGGAGGGGGAGTTGGATTTTCTCTCCTTTTACATGTGTTTTAGCAATATTCCAGCAACACCAAGGCGGGGACACCAGAAATGGACTTCTCACATTGTACCCATGTGGAGAATTTAACTCGGGCCTTCAGCATGACAAGCAAACACTTCAACCACTAGACCCCAAATGTTATTAACAGTACAATCAAATTATTTATATCTTCTATTCTGTATTACTGTTTTGAATGTTTTTATACAACTGGCATATTTGTTCATATTTATCATGTTTATACACATTTAGTTTATTAGAAAATTCTGTGCTTTGCATACAGAAACAGTGCCAAGTACATACATGATAAGGGCACAATAAACAATGACAGTATGGACAAACGGTTAAAAAATTATGTTTCTTTGTTTGTTGTTTAATGCTTCGCTCAGCAATATTCCAGCTATATGACAGCGGTCTGTAAATAATCGACTCTCGACCAGACAATCCAGTGATTGACATCATGAGCATCAATCCACGCAATTGGGATCAATGACATGCATCAACCAAGCCTGACCACCCCATCCCGTTAGTTGCCTCTTGTGACAAGCGTAGTTGTCTTTTGTGGCAAAAGCATGGTAAGAGATTAATGTGTGCATTGCTGCAAATGCTTACATATTACTGAAGTAAAGTAGAGTACACACACAACAGGAGATCAGGATATTTGAAGACTGTAGACTGTAGACATCAAGTACAATTATGTATACAAAATGATCACATATTTGCCACTTTGTTATTTTATGAGTTATATCTCAAGATATCTCAGTCTGTCATACAAACCCTGAAACAAATATTTCCAGTACAGCCCATGCAAGTCTATAATATTTGGCAAGTCACTTGATTTAATGCAGTACTGCAGTATCTGAAAATGAAATGAATCTCTGGGCTCCTTTTTATTATGTTTTATGACAATAATTTAACAACTGTTTTTTTCTTTCTGTAAGACGTTCATTTCAGCATGTTCAGGGACTAGATGTTAGTCTTATATGGTCCCTAGCCCAAGTTGTTATTGGTGATGTTCTTGTGGAAACATCTTTGGGAATGCATTAAACAAGGGAAAGTGACAACTCTTTTATGTTTTCAGTGAACACCATAACATCCACAAGTTAATAATGGAAGTACAAAGCCAACAACAGAATCCTGGCTCTGTTACTGAAACATGTGTAGTCAGGGACTGTGTGAGAGAGTTGCTCGAAACAGGTGATCTGAAGAAATTCAAAGACTCTGGTGGTCCAGCAAAGCAGTCTCATAAGTGTAGTGAGTGTGGGAAAACATTCATTAAATCAAGTGACTTGAAAAAGCACATGCTTTGCCACAGTGGAGTCAAACCTTATCAGTGTGTTGTGTGTGGGAAAATGTCTAAAAAATCAGGTGACCTGCAGAAACACATGAGGATTCACAGTGGAATCAAGCCTTATGAGTGTGTTGAATGTGGGAAAAAATTTACAGAATCAGGTTCTCTGCAAAAACACATGAGAAGTCACAATGGAATGAAGCCTTATCAGTGTGGTGAATGTGGAAAACAATTTACACTATCAGGAAACTTGAAGACACACATGAGAATACACAGTGGAATCAAGCCTTATAAGTGCATTGTGTGTGAGAAAACATTTACAGTGTTAGGTACTCTTACGAAACACATGGGGAGTCACGGTGGAATCCAGCCTTATGAGTGTGGTGAATGTGGGAAAGGATTTACACAATCATACAGTCTGAAGGCACACATGAGGACTCACAATGGAAGCAAGCCTTTTCAGTGCAATGTGTGCGAGAAGACATTTTCACAGTCGGGTAATCTGCAGACACACATGAGGATTCACAGTGGAATCAAGCCTTATGAGTGTGATGAATGTGGGAAAAGCTTTACACAGTTAGGTACCCTGCAGACACACATGGGGATTCACAGTGGTATCAAGCCTTTTCAGTGTGTTGAATGTGGGAAAGGATTTACACACTCGGTTAGACTGAAGTCACACATGAGGATTCACAGTGAAAAGGATTGAAATCTCAGTGTAATGAGTGTGTAATTTGCAACTGATAAACATGATAAACGATCAGTCAACATGTTACCAGTCAATCAATTAATCCATGTATGGGATTTGACACCTTGAGATGTGTGTGTTTCATCAGCAGTATATAACTACATATATCGGGCAGGATAGATAAAACTCCCTGCATAGATATATATGTAATATACAAATTGTTATTAATATTATCTTTGAAATATATCTTCAAGGAGATGGGTAATTCAGAGTGTATGCTAATCCATCATAAAGACATTTGACAACAACTTGTTATTCTATTTTTATTTGACATCTTTGATCATCTATATATGGGAAAATGTTATGAAAGTATATCAATCTATGTTAAATATAGTATTTATTTCAATATATCTGTGTATATATATATGTGTAAAATGTGGACCGTTTTCCCCAATCTTATGGGACCATTTTCGGCAACCATTTGGGCCATTTGGGCCGTTTGAGTCATAACTTTCACTAACATGTTGACAATGTCAGTTGTTGAACCCATTTACAATAATCGTACCAGACTTTCTGGTACTTCGTTTTCATATTATTTCCCCTTATTTCATTGCCAAGTCAAGAGATTCCGACTTCAAATTTGCCAGCCTTTTGTGATAGATGGCCATGGTCAAGCTTGCATGGGTGCACTATGAACATGCTGATGTGAAGGTACTGAGGAACTGAGTGGTGGGTATCGTCAATACCTGTTTGTTTGTGCACACTACAACAATGGAGGGACGCACAATACATACAAACCCGTGAAGACTTGGGAACAACATCTGCATTAAAGTCACTTTGATGACACATCCACTGGGGGTGAAATGATATATCTGTGCACTGGTGCATCAAGACTTTTCATACAATGATACGAAACATGATACTTTATACTGATATGTATCGATACAAGACAATACACTTTCTAAAATAGATTACCTACTACACATTTATGACACCTTCCCCCACTCCAGCCTTTTTGTCGGTTAAATATTGCAAAATGTGGTGTAATTAGCTTTTCAAGTTCACCACTTATGCAAGCCACTACAAACGTGTGTCTACAGCAAGCTTTTCCTTTTGAACCTGCTCTGAAATATTTATTGTGATGAAGCTTCAAGAAGGTATCATATTATGTGTATCGTGATACAATTGGGATCGATTACATGCATCAACCAAGTCAGCGAGCCTGTGGTAAATAAAGAGCATGGTCAGTTTACTGCTCCAAGTTGTTTGGTCAGCTGCAAGCTGGACAATCCTCCAGGCAAGACAACATTAACTGTCTCGCTGGATACACTATACAACCGTGTCTGTCAGTGACAGATATTAATATGTTCACTCATTGATATATATTGGAACGTTTTCATTCCATGGTCCAGTGCTAGAGCTTCCGCCCGGAGAGCAAAACGTCCAAGGTTCGACTGCTGGCCGCACCATCATAAAAGATGGTAGTTGTTGTTACCTTGCCTGCTGCTTGGCATTAAGGGGCTAAAACAAGGACTGGTCGTCTTGGATTCATATACTATCATTCATGTTATTGTGGACAAACTCCTTCACAAACAAAACACATCAACACATTTCATTGTTATTGTCTTTTATTTATGTCACCCTTTCAGACATTGGGTAATAAAATATTCCATACCAATTTTGGAACAATATTTCAGGG